CACTAGTGATCAATGACTGGACTCTGATTTTGTTAGCTTCAATCTGTCAGAATTGATTTAACTCTCTCTCTCTCGGGCCTACCTGTCTCCCGCACTCTCTCACACACACACGCATATACACTGACATTTTGCACAAAGTAGGTGTAATATTTGAAATATCTGTGTTGACAGAGGTACTGTTTATGCAGGTCTTTGCAGTAAGCATTTTGGTTACTGCAGTATACCCCCCCCAACCCCCTACCCCTGACCCATCAACAGAGCTCAGCAGGATGTATGTATGATGGATGAAAAAATGGAGATAATGTATATGATGGTCTTTTTATTACTAGGACAGTGTTTAATTATGTTGTCCACTGAAACAGTAGAAATGCCCAGGCCCTCAGAAACAGTGCTGCACTGTGGGACTGTAGTAAACCCATATTTTACTAGAGCCTACAGGCACGTGCTCTGTGCCATAACCCTGCGGTGTACTACAGCTTAGGCTCCGAATTCCACAACAAGATCAACTCTGAACTCCAGTACCCTTATACTTATGGCCTAAAAGAGACTGACGTGCAGTTATGCTCCCATTCAGCTGGTTTACTCAGAAGACGGGAAATAAAGTGCCATCAGTGATGGCTGTTCCCAACAAATGTAATTGTGTGAATTGTGTAATTGTGTATATAACAGATATAGCAGTAAGCATTTTACTTTTCCTAGAAAATGCTTAACATAAGATCAAAAATCAGGTACAAAACCAATGAGAGAAAAAGTAATGTTGGTACAATGGCTGATTATTTCCTCACTGGGCAATGAGTAGTTACAAAATATGTGACAATTTATTTCTAGTGTAACGCACACTTAATAGATGGTTTTTCAAGGGTTCTTTAGTAAAGACAATGGAACTAATTAGAACCATGACTTCTACATAGAACCATTTCATGCTTGAAAAAACTTTAGAACCATGAGTTCTACATAGAACCATTTCATGCTTGAAAAAACTTTAGAACCATGAGTTCTACATAGAACCATTTCATGCTTGAAAAAACTTTTTCACACTTTACACACCTCAGAAAGATGGTTCCAGTAGAACCATCTACTCATTTCATGCTTTGCATGGTGAAATTGTTCTTCAGATTGATGGAGAATGTATGTAGTATGTAGTTCTACAGAGAACCTTTTTGAAAATGGTTCAATGTAGCACCAAAAATGGTTCTTCTACTGTTATGATGTCAAACTTGTCGCAATAACAAAACCGTTTTTGGTGCTATGAAGAACCATTTTCAAAAAGGTCCTATACAGAACCAAGTACAACACATTCTCCATCAATCTGAAGAACAATTTCACCAAGCAAAAAACCATTCAAGCATGAAATCGTTCTATATGGAACTCATGGTTCCTAATAGAACGTTGTCTTCACCTTGAAGAACCATCTTTCTGAGGTGTGTAAAGTGTGAAAAAGTTTTTAAAAAAGACTGAACGCCTCACTTACGCCCATCCTGTGATCGTCACCACTTTGGATAAAATGCCTCATATTGTCCCCACCACTTGTAGAAAAGCGGGTAAAAGTTTTAAAAATGCACAATTCATGGAAAATGTTCTGAAAAATCCCGGAAACCTGCCTTATAAATCAGTAACAGTTTAATAGCACTGAGGCCATGCAGAGGAAAGCGTATCCAGCCTTTTCACTATTAAACTGGCCTTGGTTGATGATGGCCAGACTAATAGCTCAGCCTTTTATACTGACATGTAGTTTAAATGCATCTCCTCAGCAGAGTTGGAGGGTTTTTATCCTAATGCTGGTTAAAATGAGTCCACGTAGTAAAATAGTTGCTATTGCTAACTGCGCAGCTGCAGCCCGCGCGCACAATCTCGCTCTCATTTCAAATTCAAAATTCATCGCAAACTTAACGGATCATCGCGAGCGCGGTCCAACGGTCACTGACACGGCGACTGGTGAGGGAAAAGTTTCCTTCTTTATGTTGTTATTTTTATTAATATTCTCGGGACGTAGTACTATTAACTTATCTTAATGAAGTAATTTTGATTAACCTCAGCTCATATTAATTTACCGTGGCTCAGGTTATTAACTTGACTCCGTATCCGTTTAGTCTGTCAGGAAAGCTAACGGTAACGGTAGCTAACGCCCACTGTCCAAACCTAACACTGCTCCGTAATGAGGTAGTTTAACGTTGAAGATAATTTAGCTGCTAGGTTTTCTTCAGGTATTTGAGGCAGAGTGGTAGCTGTAATAGCGAGCTAATCAAACAGTGACTGGTAGCTAAAGTTAGTTGGTATTCTGTCTTTGTTTGGCAATGGGTAATGTTCCTGTATCCTAGTTAACTAGCCTATGTTAACGTGTTACTAGCGTTGAAGGGGAACTCGACCAATTTTTCAAAATTTCTGCATAATTAAATGGTTCAGATGTCAGTAAAATCAGTCAGAGTGGTCTGGTGTAAAATGTTTCGTTTTAGAGAAACTTAGTTAACTAACTAACTAATCTAACTAGTTAGCTAACTACCATGCCCAACTTGTTCACGGTGGTGGTGATAGGAACCAATCCTGTAACGTTAAGTTTTTTAATGCCTCTAAAAGCTCCCTCACAAAAAACAGTTATGAAACAAAATGGTTATGAATACACTGTAAAATCTCTGAGACACTGTTTTATGATTACTTAGTTTTGTGATAGTGCCTAAAAGGTATTTTAATCAGTTTATTTTAATCTATTCATGGTGCAGGCATACATCAAGGGTGTTGTAAGGCGAAATAGCTTCCAAAGAAAACTTTTTTTCATATTTTCCATTACTTTACCATCATCAACGTTACAAAACAGCTCAGAAGAAATGCATAGGTTTACTAGGTTAATGGTTTTGGGTAGGAAATAAAATGGCTATATTTTTGTTGTGGACATCGGGAATCCTAGTTCCTATCACCACTGTAAAGAAATCTGAGATGGTAACTGTTTCTCTACAAATGAACAGTTTCACAATAGAACCCTTCTGAATGCCTTTGTTTGTACCTGAACCACTGAAATGCAGAAATAAAAAAAAAAAAGTTAAATTCCCCTTTAACAAGCTTGTGCTGTAACGTTACTACAAGTTGGTAATCGAGCATAAAGCATAACGTTTGCTGATTTTTTGCATTGGGTACGATGAATCATGATCCAGCAAGCATTAACCGGTATTTCTGGCTTTTTATATTCTTATGTAATCACAAACAGGACGTAAAATATCTGTCAAAAATGGGAAGATGGAGGCAAACTCTGCATCTTCCTCAATCATGTAGCCAAAATACTAGAAGGCTGTGTGTACTGTAGGCCACTGCAGTAGTGGACTGAGAAATAAATGTGGAGCCACTTGAAAGTGGATGCAGTTCTTTGCTTATAGTGCAATCAATATTAGTTTGTTTGTTTAAAAAAACAGTGATTGTACTGTATGTGTTACAGGGTTGTCATTGCAAACTTGTTTCACACGAATCAAACATACTTTTTTTGTCACTGGGCATAGTGAAACGTATCTGTGCACGGAATCAGAGCTTTCTGTGACCTACCGTGTTTCCTATCGATATATAAAAGATGCATGAGGCTTCCTTTATTGTTGATAGGTAAGCACTTATCACAAATTATTGATTTGATTATTCAGAGTGGCTGGTGGGCCACTTATAACACACTGTAAAATAGAAGCCATGGGCCAATTAATATCTGCCTGCTGGCTGCATTTGGCCCTGGGGCTGGATTTTGGACATGTTGTAGAGCCTGTGCGACAGAAGAGTTATATATAAATCAGTATACCTACACTTCCACACCATAACGCACAATCTGATCAGATTTCTTTTTAGGCCAGCAAGTCCAGTAAAACAGAAATTGAAAAACAAATCTGAACATGACAGAATAATTGATGTTAATTAATCAAACTTTATGAAGAAAACTGTGTTAGACTAGATTTACCATATCCCAGCCTTAAGGCTATAAGACTGTATACCTCAAAAATTGTGGAAAAAAAGATTATAGTTGACACCTATGGGTGATCAGAATGGAGACATTTATTTGTTCAAATCATCTTGCAAATAAATTCATTTTAGAGCTAATTTTGACCTTATTTTGTTTTTGCTGAGTGTCATTTAAGTGATTTCTTACCCTGCCATTCATTCAGATCCTGAAAGTGTAAAAAAGGAAACCAAGATCAATACCAAAAAAAACGTGAAGTGTCAATATCCATGTTGATGCTATTAGTGCAATGCAAATCAATGTGTTACTACATCAATGCTTGTGAACATTCTAGTTTACCTTCAGCTTTTACAGCACATTAAGTCACAGTACATTCTCCTCTGGCTAGATCCACAGGGTACAGTACAGGATGGGTCTGACCATTTCTGAAGGGTCATGTAGGTCAGTGCCCTGTGCATCTCTGTGGTCTAAACATACTCAAACTATCCAAAAGCTTGACCCCTATTTCTTCTTCATGCTTTGTCAGCAGAGGAGATGTAGTTTTTAAAAAGTGCTTTGTTGTGGCTGACACTTGCCTATCTCATCTAGATCTGTGTGAGAGGCCTAATGATTAACCAAAGGCCATTTTCGTGTGCAGGAAAGGCGCGGGTGAAGTTCCAATGATCAACACGTTGCTTTGACACTTCAGGAAAGGAATAGGGAGAACGTACAGGAGCACAAACCCCTCAGGACAGTGACCTGGTAAAGTCCAGCATATTCCATCTAGTGATAAAATAGATAGACAGACTTTGTATTAATCCTTATAAAAAGTCATGTATGACACTCTAGCTAGCTACATCACTTAGAAAGGTGACAGGTCACATTAGAATACTTAAAATGCATCAGCTACTGTGTCATACTGCAGCTTTGATCCCGTCACTACTGGCTGAGAGACCTGTATGCCCTGAGACTCATCAGCGTCTCTCAGATTCCTGCAGTGCGTAAAGACCCACAACTTTTGATAGGATTTCATGTTGCCTTTGAACTCTTGAGTCACTTGTGTCAGTCAGAGTCCATTTCAGCTGATAAACCGAGTGTATGTGTGTACGTGTGAGAGCTAGTGTGTTGAGTCTCGTGAGTGCAGAGGAACTCTCAGTGAACAGTTAGCTTTCCTGGAAGGCAGCTCAGGGAAAATGGATGAAATCTGAGGTATGTCAGACTTGGTAGCGTAAGCTTACAGAAGGTGATGCTTATATGTTTGTGTCTTGCGGTCGTGCTGTTGGCTTCTGCAGAGGAAGGGTGTGCACACAGGGCAGACTATGCCAGTGGCTGGGATATGGCACTACAGAAGACAGAAGTGATAAACTGCTTTCGCTGGCCATTTCTCCGCAGCTCCGAAGCCTGCTTTTATCTAAATTGGTTCGGATGGCGGAGCAGTGCTGATGTTAAGGAGGAGAGTTCCCTCAGTGGACTGCTTGTCTTGTAGTCTTTGGGGATATTAGACACTTCTCTGACTTAGGAATGCTTCTCAGAGAAGTATAGATACGTAGACTCTCCGGTGGTTATTACTTTCTTTTTCAGTTGGTTGAAAGATTTCTCATTACACATGGTCAGAACTGCAAAGGCTCGTATGTGGGATCACACTTAAGTTCCTTACTGTCTTAATTACATAGCTTACATATTACTTTGCATAGTAGATTCTGGATAGTAATCGTAAGATATATAACTGAATAATAAGCCTGATGTTTACCCTTTAGGAGTCTTAGATGTTTGCAAGAACAAAAGCATGTAATTTGATATGAATTATTTTTCAATGCAGAATTGGAAGCACAATCGGAAGTGTGCATGTCAGATTATTTCCATAAGCAACTCATCGAAAGATGTGGAAGTGGAAGCATGGGTGCTAAATTTTCACTTAATACCACATATATTTAAGTAGAAAAGAATATGTATTGTTATGATTTAAAATTGAAGAAAAGTTACTGCTGTGCATGTAATTTTGTTTGTTGAAAGAAATACAAATCCTTTAAAAAAATAAAAAAATTTGGCATGTTTTGGATATTTTTGATCAAAACAAACAGAAAAAGTCAAAAGTGCAGACTTGAACCTGTCAAAACAGAATGTAAATCGAATATAAATACAATGCATTGCAAATTTGCCACGTAATTAAATATATAATTAATAATAATTATAAGGGGAAAAAAGTAAGAACTCTTGACTTCAAGTGGTTAAATTAAGCCTGTTGTTCCTCTGATTGTCCCTAATCGTTCCACAATGCCTTCTTCTATCTAAGCATTCTGCCTCTGTCCCCTGGAGGAGAGGGATGATATTTCCCCATTCCTGGATTTGTGCTAACATAATGTTCCCTTATGAACTGAGTCACCACTTGTGATGTAACATTAAGTTTAACCAGCGATAACAAGCACTAACACAGGCTGACAGGGCACGTCATGGGGTGCCATGCACCTGCATTCCAGTTCAGTGTTGGACGTGCAGTTTGTGAGCATGCGTGTTTGTAAAAAAGATTATGTGTTTGTGGACAGGCCTTCCAGCAAGCAAGCTAGTGACTAGATCTGCGTCATATGCTGTGAACACTGTAAATCTTCTTAACCTACTTTGGGTTGGAAGAGAGAAATTTGCAGCAAATTAGTTAAGCAGCGGATTATAAATATAAGTGAAATCTGGCATAATGTTTGAACACCAAGAATACATAGCTAGCTCTAACATAGTTAGCTCAATTACATTGTTTGCTGTTTGTTTCCAAGACGAGATGTTTAGTAAGGCATGCATTTTATTATGAGCATGTTTTGTTTATTTTTCATGCATGACCCAAAAACCATACTATTATGTGAAGAGTGTGTAGGAACAGATTCACAGTTGCTATGGAGATTGTCATAAATTGTGCAGGAATAACAGAAGTGGCCCCCTTCTGCCAAAACAACCAGGCTTATGATTTTTTTTAGCTCTTTGTAGTAGATGCTCCATTTTGGTAAATACATCAGGGATTTTTTAGAGGATGTGAGTTTTTCCTTGTAGCTGATTGTATGCAACTCAAGCATAAGAACAAAAACTGCAGTTTTACACAAGACAGCAACGTGTATGAGCATGACAATCATAGCATAAGACACAGTGCTAGTAAATAAAACACTGCACCTCAAACCAGCAGAATATAGCAAGTAGAACTGAAGAACTGGCACACATGACAAGAACAAAACATTAAGCAGTGAAACAGAAGACGTAGCACCGTAAACAATAGCAGACTGCAAACATGTTGACTTATTTCACACTATTAAACACAAATGAGGACTTGCTACAGGCAGCGTTAAAGTTTCAGATGCCCCAGAACTTTCGCCGTGGGCTTGTTTCCATTCCTGTGCGCTCCATGGGACGCACTGGACCTCTCCCTCGTTAAGGAGGACTATTGTTCTTTCCACTCGCCACTTCAAGGACCTTTGGGTGTGATGTGAATATCAATTGATCCTTTTAGTAGTGCCCCTGAAAAGCTGTTTAAGCATTTAAACGCTGTGCTTGAGCTCGACATCACAACTTGTGGCTTATCATATCAGAGTGTGCTATTTAGAGAATAAGTTATCATATCATTTAGGTTATAAACGTACTAGCTGAGTTATTACTGTTATTTGATCACACACAGATTTACAAGTGACTATGATATTATGTTAACTGATTACGTATTAGCTCATTTTCAGTAAAAATTTGTTATTTTCACCAAATTCCAAGATACTGTAGCTTAGACAAACCTAATTCTTACATTCTGATTAGTTTAAGTGGGTTTATTTGGTTGCAGTCCTCATTTTCATTTGTTTTTTGAGCTTGTGTTTCTGTTTATCAGTCCCTGTGTGTGTCATGTCAGTGATAAGAAACCTCAGAGCAGCCATTGAACATTGAGCCATCTCACTACATAATATTTTTCATTGCAAAGTTTCAGAGCACTTAAGAAATTGTAGTGTTCATAACTTAACTTTTCTGGCGTAGCTGAGCTCCTTCCAGTAGAGAATGACAAATAGCTTATCTGCTTGTTGAGAGTGGATTTGGATAGCTGAACTATTCCTGGCTCTGGACAGATTCTCTCATGTCTATAGAAACATTTATACTCCTATTAGTGCCATCACCATGGATACAATAACCTGTTCTCATTTATGTGTTCCCAAAGACAGTGCTTAAGATGGCAGACATGTTTAAGCATTGAGCAAGTTTTGTCTGTTTACTGAAACGAGCAAGTTTGGAGGCCAGACAGGGAGTATTTAATCAGTGTTGTTGGCCATAAACACTAAATGGCCTTTAGCAGCCCTAAGCTGTCTTGTTCTCTTTTTTGTCTTCTACAACTCCCTTTTCAAAAAATTGGGACGCAGTGCAAAATGATAATAAAAGCAAAATGTAATGATGTTCAAATCATTTTAACCCTTTACCTAATGGAAAATAGTACCAAGACAATATACCAAATGTTGAAACTGAGAAATGTTATTGTTTTTTTATTTATTTTTATTTTTTGAAAATATATGCCCATTTTGAATTTAGTGCCAGCAGAACATTTGAAAAAGGTTGGAAACAGTGGCAACAAAAGACAGGTGAAGTTATGTAATGCAAAAAAAAAATGATGAAACATCTCACAACTAATTAGGATAGTTGGCAACAAGTCAGTAACATGACTGGGTATAAAAGAGCATCCCAAAGAGGCTGAGTCTTTGAGAAGTGAAGATGGGGAGGGGTTCGTCTCTGTGTGAAAGACTGGGTGTATGGCCTGTATGCAGTCTATACCTGTCACCCATTGAAAACATCTGGCGATTTATGAAACGAAAATTACAACAAAAGAGACCCCAAACTGTTGAGCAGCTGAAATATATGTCTAGTAAGAGTGGGAAACCTTTTACTTTCAAAACTACAGAACTACTGACACTTTGACTGAGGCAGCAAGAAAGTGACTGAGTTGTATTTTATATGTTCAAGGGAGACACAGGTGCTACACAGCTACCGCACAGGTCACATTGTGCTATTTCCTTTTTGTTTTTTATTCATCTATTCTTACTGACCGCTTTTGAGGTCTTTCTACATTATAGGTTCACAATATAGGAATACTATTACAGACTGAACCACATTCCAGTTCCGGAGCACAGGACCAGTGTTGATATTATTTGGCTGGTGGACCATTCTTTGCTCAGAAGTGCTAGAGAACAGCTTAAATTCGGCATCAACAGATGGGTTACAGTCTCTAACTGTACATCAGCATAGTGGAGCTGCAAGGAACCGATTTTTCACTGATTGCCCAGTGAGTGTGGAGGAGTCATCTGGACATTTTTGCAGATGATTTGTGCACATTACTCTGGAAATGTCTTAGGCCACTTGAGAAAATTATATTTAAAGTTACTGATCTAGGAAGCAAATGTTTATTTACTTGTGAAAATACTACCATCGGAATGAATACAAATAAAAGTTAGTACAGTAAAACTTTATATTTATCAGTGTGTAAGCTGAAAGTCAGCCTAAATTTAAAATGGACCTTTTTAATCTTGTTATTTCATGTCCCTGGTCATAATAAACAGGATTCATAATAATTATTATTTTTTTTTTTTACTTTTTATTTTAATTTTTTATTTATGCTTTAATTATGCCACTTGTGCACAAGCAGGCAGCAAAAATAACATTAACTGATATCATGCTTTGTCTTGTCATATTATCATGATATTACGTTAGAATAAGACACTCTGGAGTCTCTGCCCATGCCGTGCCATGCTAATAGCCAAGTGTAGGCTCAAGCCCCCCCATAGCGTTCTTTTGAATGATGGATCACCATTTGGTTCTCTGGAATGATGGAGCACTATCCAAAAACCTTGGGGCTGGGTTGAAGTGGAGTTTGTGGTCCATATCATCCAACACCTATACCTCACCTCACTAATGCTCTTGTGGCTAAATGCAGACAATTTCTCAGAGCGATGCTCAAATGTCCAGTGTAAAGCCTTCCTAGAAGAGCAGAGGCTGTTACTGCAACAAAGTGGGAAAAAACTCCCTATTAATGTCTTTTTCTGAAGAAATGTTGATGAGCATGTGTCTACAAACCTGAAACAGACCTGCATTCTTCTGACCGCCTTACAATAACTTTTTTTTTTTTGAGAACAAGAAATTGTTGTTACATTTTATTGTATTGTTGTTTATTTGCATTTGTTTCAATGTTATGTTACAAGCAAAACACTTACTGCCCAGACAGTAGTTGTATAATCTTGTTGTCCTCCATCTTCAGGCTATGTGCAGTGGCTGATTTCTGATATGGCCAAGCGGGCCAGGCAGGCCCATACTTCGCTGCTGCAGCGCTGTGTCCACCCCCAGGCCCTGCAGTCCACCCTGATTGTCTGATCCTCTCTTGGGCTTCCCACTCACTGGGCCTCCTGGCTTCACTTGTGGCCCACCATGGGAGGATGCCTCTCCAAACCCAAACCAGGTGATACATACACACGCACACACACATGAACGCACTCCACCATACACCCCCACTCACACCCTTAAATCCTGTAATAATTGGCACTTGTTTCTCCATCTATATATAGGTCAGTCCAACCTGCCCCCTGACTGCCTTTGTGGCATGGCTTTCTTTTGGTGCAACAGGAATTTTAATGCTCTCAGTTGCTCTCTGTGTTCACAGGGATTAGACAGTGAAATATGAGTGTTGAGCATATTTGAATGTTTCACAATGTATCGCTGTTTTCTTTCTTACATCCCAAAGACAAAGTGGTGCTGAGGGGCAGAAATATGACTTCATCTGTCAATGGACCCACTTGTTGGATTGTGAGTGGGTGCAGACTTTTGAAAGGCAGTGAGATTTGACTAGATTGAGCCTACATTGTGAGACTGTGGGCTTTTGATCCTGTTAAACCCAGAAAAACAAGAAAAACAAAAACTTACTTAGAAAAAGATACTCATTAGATTATGATATTCTGGGCCAGATTCCCAGATGTAGATTAAACCTAAGCCTAGACTAAAAGGGATTTTTATGGTGAAACACCAGTAGCAATGTACTGTAGTCCACAACTGTGCTTAATCCATGTCCATGATGCTGCTATGTTGTAATTTTACATCATATATTGTGGCCTGTGATAAACTGACCAATAAATTGCACTGCCGAAGGAAGCCAGACTGCATCATCTACTTTAAGAAATTGCACAAGGAAGGAAAGAGGGGAGAAAGGGAGGGATAAAGAGACTGACTGTGTGTCAGACACCGAGAGGGAGGGAGGGAGAGAGTGAGTAAGAGAGTAAGGATGAAGTGAAAGTGAACAAAAGTGAGCTTTTACTCTGTTGTAGTGGCTTTGCTGCTCAAAGGGACACACATTAGAAATGAAATCAACAATGTACAGCTTTTTGAAGCCAACACATTGCTTGATAAATGTAGATTTCTCATGTCAAATAAATCTCATTCACAAGCATGCATAACCTCTCCTAGAACTGATTATAAGTCTGAGTTGGAGAGAGTGGATGAGAACCTAACGTGGGGTAAACATCTAACATGGATATTTTATGTAGTTAAACAGATTGAAGTAGAATGTGCTTTTAGTCATCTTGTATTCCCCTAGCAATGTCATCTACAAATTCTTACAAAATCTGGACAGATATTTGTCAAGATTCACCCTGAAGACTTTTTTCATTGTGTTTTTTGATTAATGAGTTGTGTGCGTAGTCATAGAATTCACTCCTGTATAACCAGACTCTTATGTAGCACTATTTTGACATGTAAACAATACAGCATGTGAACTAGCCAGACTAAAGCACAGCCTCCATGCTGAAGAGTTGGTTTTAATACAGGGCTACTAAACCTCCTATGGTAAACGATGAGAGAAGTCCATGCCAGACATGCCAATTTAAAATAGAAATTTTTTTTGGAAGTTGAAATGCTTGGATTCTTCAAAAATAGTATAGATGTCATGTAAATAAAATACATTTACATGACATCTATAGAGCATTTTTTTGTGCTGATACTTACTGTTCTACCCTGTTTTCGCTAATCATATTAATTTATCTATTTATTTGGTTGGAAACCTCATCTGGATAACTGCATTTAATTGACTGTGATTTGCATCGATTTAATTCTGAGTTAACTTTTGAGTTAACTCTGTCTATGGTTTAAGTTTTCAGTTGTAGCAGAAACTTGTAGGTTTCTTGTATGTAAATATGTTAATCTTGATCAGATATTTCTTAAATTATGAAGCAAAAACCAAAAGTGTTAGGTTGTGCCTCGCTGTCTCCTACATAAGGTATTGAAAGTGAGTGTTGCACCATGCTTTTGACCCAAACTACAGACTAACAGTTCCTCATGCTGTACAGAAGACTCAGCTCTCACTTTCAATCTCCTTCTTTTTGGTGCAGTGTCACTAATAATAAAGCATCTGGAGCGCACCGTGCGGCTGCCTGCTTTCTTTCTTCTCCACCATTGGCCTTGGTCGTCTCTTATGATTTTCCATTGATTTTAATTAAGCTTCGCTCAGCAGGTGAGAATTCTCTCTGAGATTAAAGCATAAGACCTGGGTTCTCAGCACATTTTTCCAGCCAGAGAGAGAAAGCAGGTTCCATGCTTGCTGTGGCGAAACTACATTACACAACCACATCAACATCGTTTTGCAATTTAAAATCAAAAGTATTAATTCCATATGTTCCACATGTGAGAAAAGAGGAATTATTTGTCGTCACTTGTGTTTGATTCAGTTTTGTATGTTGATTGTGACCTTTAACTGCTGACCTTTGCAGTTGAGGTCAAAGTTGAGCTCACTTTGCTGGAGAAGGAGAAGGAAGCAGACCTGATGTCTCCGAATGGAAAGGCCAGTCCTTTCTCTGAGTGCCGTCCCAACGGCTCTTTGGGACACTGCTCAGACGAAGACTCGACCACTATGCGGCCTTCTCACAAACACAGAGACTACATAGAAGCCACGGTGTGCCATGTCAAAGACCTTGAGAACGGACAGTAAGCCAATCTGTTTATGTCTGACTTATACTACAGGCTAAAAGTTTGGAATCAGTGTTTTCAAAAATATCAAACCAATCTGGTTGCAGTTGTGCACTAAAGTTTGAATATCCCCAGTCAAATTACATGTTTACAGAGAACAATCTTAAATGTCAACATTTTCAGCAAATTTTAGTGCATAATTTCTATTTATTTACATATAAAATATTGGAAAGGAGAATTAAAAATCGGAAAAAACTGACCACATTTTAACATTTTTTTTTCCATAATTTTTAAAATCAGTAAATAAACAGTAATTATCTGTTAAAATGTGCAGAAATGTGTTCTCTGTAGAGGATGTGTGAACTTATTTACACTTAGAAAATCAACAAAAAACATATAATCTGATCAAGGGTGTTTTTTAAACAAAACTACTAATAAAAAAACAACATCAGACAGATGTTTATATATTTAATATTGTTAATACTTAATAAAGTTAATATTTAATAACTTTTATTGTACTCTGGATGAGCAAAATGTTTAGATGATGCTCAGATGCTGTGCTAAACTGTCTGCATTTTATTAACGTTAACGTTTGTAACACTATATATATATATATATATATATATATATATATATATATATATATATATCCTGTGTAATGTATTTGCATGTTCTTAGCAAATCATCTATGTCAAGAGTGTGAGGAAATTTGTTTGACTTAAGCTCTGTTATAATACCATGCGATATTTCGGCATCTGAAATTATTTACATTTCTGTTGTTCCCTTTCTGCAGTGAGGCAAGCATATTAATCTTGACTGATTCTTTTTGCGTCTTCTCTGCCAGGATGCGTGAGGTGGATTTGGGGGCAGGCAGAGCTCTGCTCATTAAGGAACATGGAGAATTCTCTGCCATTGGGCACAAATGTCCACACTATGGGGCACCACTGGTTAAGGGTGAGACACATCCTCCACAGTATGTTTCTACTGAATTCATCATGAGAGTTTGTCCAGTCTAGCTGCGTCAGTAAAGCTTAACTTGCAAATGCAGCGACTGTTCTGTGTTTCTTTTCAAAAAGACCATTTTAATGTGTCCATTACACATCACTCATCATTTTTATCACATTATGCACCAGCCTGTGAATATTCACAGAAGGATTATGAGGCACTGTACTTTGAAATGAGCTATTATAATAATTAAAATACTGATTTATTTAAATGGCATTCCTTTCTCAAGATCACAACAAAAATCAATCAAAAAGACAGAACACGCCAGAACAGAACAAAAGACAGAAGTTACAACAGGCATTAAGATAATACAAGTAAACAAGCAAACTGACATTTAACAAAAAAGACAGCTTTAGACTACAGGTCATAGGACACAAATCAGTAAAACAAGAAATAAAATGTGAAAGTTTGGCAAACTTACAGTAGTATTGCTTAATGTGCCCTGCCAGTTTGGATGAAACAGTAAATAAACGTTTCAAACAAACAAATAAATATTAGGAGTATGGTTACTTTCATGATCCCTTGGGCTGTAAATATGTTTTAGAGTGTTGTGAATTAAATGGGCATTGTCTTCTCTGCAGGAGTCCTATCTAAAGGTCATGTTCGATGTCCGTGGCATGGAGCCTGTTTTAATATTGCAACTGGAGACATCGAAGATTTTCCTGGACTGGACAGTCTTCCCACCTTTCAGGTAAAACTTTCAGGTGCCAACTTTACTTAGTCTTATGCTGTTCTGGTGACATTCTTATGCCCTTGTATAGTAAACACTATAGAAAATGGACTGAAACTGAATGGAAGTATACGTTCTTCTAGTGTTGTATTGACATTTGAGTCTTGTGCATAATGTGGGTATGTCAGTATGCTTGTGTGGTTTTCGCAAATTATTCTTATGCCTTGTAAAGTGAACACTGTCTTATAGACACTTTGCATCAAGTATCTCATTAGTGGATGCAGAAGGGTGTTTTCTCATTTTCAAATATTAAGCACTAAAACCCAGCCACTAAAATGATTCAGCCACTGGGAGCAAATAGAGGCTAATGGCTTTAACTGTAGTAGTCATATAGGTTGAGAGAAGGGGAGATTGACCTGGCCAGAAGGTTAATGAGAAGACAAGAGAAAACACTGTTATATGATAGTGTGACAAACTGTTGACATTTAGCCTTGTCTTTGTTACAGGTCAGAGTTGAAAAGGACAAGGTGATCATACGGGCAAACAAGCAGGTAAAAAAGGTTTGCGGAGAAGGTGTGTGTTTGTATGTGTTTGCAGCTAGGGTGTAAAGAGTGTAAAGTTAGCAAACACTGTAAGATCTGCTGGCTTAGCTGTTTATGAATGTTTACAAATATATTAATATTCTTTCAGGCTCTCCAGACACAGAGGAAGACAAAGGTCATGGCAAAGTGCTCAGCTGTCATCAACTCCAGTACAAGCTTTAGCCATGTTCTCATCATTGGATCAGGTTAGAACCTTCTAGACACAGTCAGGCAAGAGCAACATTTCGGCCCCAGTTACTCCATATAAGTATTTTAATTGCTTTGGAGTATTCTGACATCTGTATTTGGAGAATGTGTTCAAAGATTTGAGTGGAGACCAGCAGGTAATTGGTAAAACTTACTTCAGTTTCAGTCAAAATTTATTCTTAAGTTCTCAACATGTGCATTTGACCAACGCACACTCAGACTGCAGTTCATACGTCGAGTTGAAAACTATGCACAGGTAGTTAAACTGTGCACATTCTCTAGTCAAATTCAAAGTTTTGATAAATCACCGTTTAAAAGTTACTTGCAGCAAATGTATTATCTAGTATAACTATATCTTAGTGCGAATTTGGCACTGTAGATTACTGAATACTTTTGGACTGGTTAGAAAATTTGGTAATACGGTCCGGGACAGTCCTTAATTATTATTATTATTATTATGAAGTTCCATCAAGTCATTTCAGACTGCTGGTGACCATATGGATAGTGTTTCTCCAGAATATCCTGTCTTCTGCTTGGGCCTTCCAACTTCTGAGTGGCTGGTTCATGATTCCTCCGATTGTTCCCATCCATCTTGTTGCTGGTTGTCCTCTTTCTCTTTTACCTTCAGCTCTTCCAAACATAATGTTCTTTTCCAGTAATTTGGGTCTTCTCAGAATATGTCCAAAGTAAGATTCTTTTGGGTCATCTGGGCTTTTGATTACCATATTGATTACCATAGTTACGTAGATGACACACAGATATACCTGGTTCTTTCACCAGATGATTACAGCCCAGTAGACTCACTGTGTTAATGTGTGAAGCATAAATAATTGGATGAAGAAAATATTTCTTCAATTAAATAAAGATGAAACAGAGATTGTTGTTTTGGCAGCAAAGAGAAGAGACTTTGTATTAGTGAACACCTTGATTCCCAGGCTCTAAAAACCAAAGACCAAATTCAAAATCTTGGTGTTCTAAAAGATTCCAATCTCACTTTCACCAGCCATACCAAAGCAATCACCAAAACAACCGTCTATCATCCTGAAAATATAGTCAAGAGTCAAAGCTTTGTTGTCCCAAAAGGCTGAGAGAAGCTCATTCTTGCCTTTATCTCCAGCTGGTCGGCTCATGTAATGGTGTCTTAACTGGACTCCCAAAAAAGAGCATTAAACAGCTACAGCTTATTCAGAATGCTGCTGCAAGAGTTTTAGCCAGGACCAAGAGATCAGAGCACCTTACTCAAGTTACTCAAAATCTTTACACTGGCTTCTCATAAAGAATAGATTTTGAAGTGCTGCTACTAGTCTATAAATCACTGAATTATTTAGGCCCAGACTACATCTCGGATATGTTTAAAGAATATGAACCAAGTAGGTCTTTTAGATCAATGGGTTCAAGTCAGGTAGTAGAGTCTAGAGTCTAAACTAAACATGGTGAAGCAACAGTGCACATATCTTTTTTGTTGCTTGGTTTGTATCACGGTATATTTTTACTTGACTCTGAAATCCAACAATCCAATCCTTAACCATTCATAGAAATGACAATATTCTAAATCACTTTTGGGCCAGACCGAAATGAGTTTGCTGTAGTGTTGCATTTCCCACTCTTTTGCATGCTCTCTCTCAGGTCCTGCTGCTTTGGTGTGTGCTGAGACGTTAAGGCAGGAAGGCTTCACTGACCGCATTGTGATGTGCACCATGGAAAAGCACCTTCCATATGACAGGCCTAAACTGAGTAAGGTTTGTACAGTCCACAGAGCAGGCTAACGGCAGTGCAACAGAGGCTATCTGTATTTTTTCCATGCCTCTGTTTACGCTGCAGTGGATTATGTGTTGTTTAGACTTGATGAGCTTTTGACTATTCTTATTTGTTTAAAACAATCCTGACACCCCAACTAATTAGTGATTCCCCACAGAAAAGCATTGCCAATAAAACATGATGCTCACCATGCATTGTTGGAATGCTGTTTGTGATCCAGAACTAATCACCCCACATCAGTACCTGACTTTTGTGGTTAAATGCAATCAAATCATCACAGCAATGTTCCCTTGACGTTGAATGCAATTAAATCGTCACAGTAATGTTCCAACAGCTACTACTGTATAAACCCTTCTCAGAAGAGGCTGTTATAAGCTCCCTATTAATACCCTTGATTTTAGAAGAAATGCTAAATGAGCAGTTGTCTACAGCCTTTTGGACATATGGTGTATTAACTGTTTGTTCCTTTCTGACTACAGTTAATTGCCCTTGTTGTAATGCTTAGTCTTTTTTTTCTAGTCTTTAGAAAGCACAGCTGAGCAACTTCAACTGCGATCAGTGGAGTTCTTCCAGAGCCATGATATAGAGCTCTTGCTGGAAAAAGAGGTGAGTGTGGCACTAAGGCATGCCCATGGTGGACTTTTTCAAGGCTTCATACCTACAAAACATGCATGCTTTTTCAGCCCATAATCACACGCTCATCATCGTCTTTAGAAGTATACTTAGACTCACTCACCACCTTAAAGTTCAACTCGGCCAACTCATAGCCCATTTATCTCTAATCAGTTTCTGACCAGAGGGCCGCTATCGAACCAGATGTTGTTTTGATAGTAGACAACTCTCAGCACAGCATTGACAGTCACTTGTTAATGGCATGGTTGCAGTTTTGAATGAATGGCTTTTGTGATGATGCCAAAACCACCTCATTCAGAATTTCAACCACGACTACTTTTTGAATGAACCAAGCTATCAGAACAGAGATCATTTACTTATATCAGTCTTAAAGACAAAAATAACCTGCCAGAAACTGTTTAGTTCTAAGGGATTAAGAGGAGTTGGATTTTTAGTTACACCACACAAATATTATAAATCAACCTCAGAGAAAGAAGTTCAAGAAAATGTAGCATGTGGATCTTCTAAAGCACAGCAGTAACCCTTAAGTCCTTGCTGGCTTATTGTGTACGTGTTTTGTCCGTCACAGGCTGTGTCTGTTGATGTAAAGACGAAGACGGTGACGTTTCAGGACGGCTATAAGATGGAGTACAGGAAACTCCTCATTGCAACGGGAAGCAAGTAGGGACAGAACACTTCATATATGACTGTAGCAACAGCTGTGTTAACTGTTTTCATTCCTGCCATGTGCAAGATCATCTGAAATAATCAAAGTAGGGGCTGTATCTGCCAAAGATTGAATCTGATATGAGAAGCATAATAAAGTCTCACTAATAACAACCTAAGTTGTTAAAATAATCTATGAAGATCAAATTAATGATTGTAGATGTCGAAAAACTTTATGGGCAAAATAACTGACACAGAGACAGAGCTGATGGGAACAGAAAGTGCTGTGATTCATCAGAACTAACTCGCTTAGCCAGCTGTCATTCTCCTCCACTGATGATGCTGAGAACATCTTGGTTTCTTAATGTTAATTGTTCTTTATTCAGTAAATGTATTAAACTGAAGTACAAATGGTGGCACAGTAGCGATTACAGTAAGAAGGGCCTGGCTTCGATTTCCTGTCTGTGTGGGTTTCCTCTGGGTGCTCCGGTTTCCTCCCACAGTCCAAAGACATGCAGTCAGGCCGATTGGTGATATAAATTGCTCCTAGGTGTGAATGTGTATGCCTGTGTGTCTGCCCTGTGATGGCCTGGCAACCTGTCCAGGGTGTTTCCTGCCTTCCGCCCAGTGAGTGCCTGGCATAGGCTCCAGCATTCCCCACAACCCAGGAGGATAAGCGGGTTAGATGATAGATGGGTGGATGAAGTACATATTTTTGAGCACCCTCCTGTTACAGGGTTCTTATGTATGCATGAATGAATAGTCTGTTTATAGCAACACTTTGGGTGAGAATCCAACTTTTAAATTAATTTTCATTTAGTCATCATTTGAGTTTTAATTGAAAAATGAATAATAATTTCCTCTACATTCAGCCATTTAAATGAAAACCTTAATAGGGGCTTTTTCTGACAATGACTAACCAAATGGCCTTTTCAGTTGTATAGCTGGGCAAACTCATTTAAAGTAGAACCAGAATCTGACTGATGTTCTTTGTCAGTCTGTAATACATAAGTTAGGGACAAATGAGGTGACGCCTCGATGTCTTAGTGTTTTATCTGGTGTTATCTGAGACAGATCATTTATTTGGAATAGGTGGATCGACAGTATGTAGCAACACTGCTGCAAACTTATCTTTTTTTTTTTATTTCAAACTATTTTAAAGGAAATTATATGTAGATACACTCAAATTTTGTAGACACCGACTCATCTAACATTTCTTCTGGAATTAAAGTTTTAATAGGGTGTTTTTCCCCCGTACTGCTGTTACAGCTTCTGCTGATCCTGAAGGTATTAGATGGTGCTCCAGAGAATGCAGTTTCAGTGCTCCACAGCCCTGTGCTGGGGGGCTTTATACCCCTCTAACTTGCGATTGGCATTGGGCATTGTGACCTTAGGCATCACACTCTATTGGTCAATGCTTTTCTATGCCGATTATACAATCTCTGTGTGTGTGTGCAGTTGAACACCTGTGTCAGTAATGAGTGCAGCTTAAAGTAGCTGAATTCACTAATTAGAAGGACTGTCCTGATACATTTGGAGATGTGTATATAGTGTATATAATTTGTAGAAAATTCAGTATTAATTGTGGAATCATGTTTATGAAGGGTAGAATGCTGGTAATGGCTAAAGCAAGTTGGTAAACACTTAAAATGACATTACAGTGACTGCTGAATTTATGGGTTCTCTCTTTCTCTCTCTCTCTCTCTCTCTCTCTCATTCTGTCTCCCCCTTGAAGATCCAAAAGCATAAACTACAAAGGCAAAGACATTAGCAACGTGTTTCACTTGAGAACTCCTGAGGATGCTAACAGCATAGCCAGACTGGCCAGCAGCAAGAATGCTGTCATTGTGGGTACCTCATTTATTGGTAAGGGACATGACAAATACATTAATATTAAAGTTTTATTATCAAAAGAATGAACTGTAATAAATTGGTAATACCTCTGAAGTCTTAATGTTATTACCATAGTATGTAAAGTCCAGATGTGTAATCATCAGATGACCTGTGTTCAGGCATGGAGGTTGCAGCAGCTCTGACAGATAAAGCTCACTCTGTCTCTGTGATCGGAATTGAGGCTGTTCCTTTCCGTAAAGCTCTGGGGGAGAAAGTAGGAAAAGCCCTGATGAAGGTAAGAGTCGATCAGTTTGCATGCTTCTGTGTTTCTGCTTATTAGCACTGTATTTAAGGCTGTAACGTTTTTAATACAATATTGGAAAATTGAAAGTTCAAACCCAGTGTATTGAAATGTAGCACTCAAAATATGTGAAAAAAACAGGGGCTTCCAAGCTGGAGTTTAAAAATATGAGTAAAAATACAGAGAAAATGGGACTAACAACCGTGGCAGGACCTGTTAGACCACCAAAACTGTTACAACGATGAGAGAGAGGAGAAAATCAAGCTCCACTCTTGAACTATTTTGTTGTTGAATTATCTGTGTAATTTTCTGTTAAATATGTTTTATTTTATTTTTTTTCAAGAAGCTGAAAAATTAATAACGTACTTAAAGGCCATATTGGCTGGAAATTAAATAAATGAAGGATGGACTTTTGACAGCACTCTTGATGAGTTGCAAAGTTGTGCAAAGAAAAGACTGATGGGCCAGTTGATGTTTCACATTCACATATCGATCATTTGTCTGAAACCAGACATTAGCACAAGAATCTTTAATACTCAGCACGCAGTGCTTGTGGTCTGAGGCAGATTTGTCAGGCTGGACTCACCCTCACAGAGTCTGACTGAAAGTGTCTGCATCAGCATTTGAGACCCGTCTACCATGCTGGAAGAAGCACTGTTTCAGAAGACAAATTACAGGTCTTTGGAATATGGACATCCTTCAGAGTCCTTCCTGTGAATAAGACTAGGGATGTAGAATATGCATAACACAACGAAACTGGATGAGAAAGAGGCAAAGCTTGACTATGAACGTTGTAGGATTGGGGGCAATCAATATTGCTATACTGATAATTAAACAATTACTGATACTGTCAGCAAAGCGAATATCTGTCTAGGAAAATAAAGTGTGTGCATTTTTATTTCTTTTTTTTTATTTTGTGCATGGTAGTTCAGATTCCCTTTGAGTAACGTGAATGTGCTCTGGTGTGGCAGCTGTTTGAAATGAACAGGGTGAAGTTCTACATGCTGAATGAAGTGTCGGAGATGCGAGGGCATCATGGACAGGTATCCAGAAAGTGAGAGAAACACGGGCTCAGGCTGATGAGCCATAAGCTCTCTCTTCCTCTATCTTTTGTTCCTTTCGTATCATGTTTTCCCTCCCTTTTACTCATTTGCTCAATTTGACTCTATTTTTCTTTCTTCTTTCTTTCTCATGATGTATCTGTTTGTGTCAGAGACTGTGTAAATGAGCTATTTTAGTGTGACAATGTCTGACACCTCTTGAACTCTTGCACTGCTTAGCTGTAGGAACAACTTGTGGTCCTGTGTAATTGTGGCAGCAACGGACATCCTTCACATGTCTAATTACAGTTGGATCCTTAGTAGTGGAGAGCTTTTTTTTTAAAAAAAGCTTTTTTTTCTGATCTAAAACCTATTTATTATTATTATCATATACTATTAAAATATTAATAATAGGTAAGGTAAATTAGGTAGTAACTATAGCAGATTATGCTGCCCCATTGAACATATCTGCCTTGTTTTGCCTTTTCAGCTAAAAGAAGTGGTTCTGAAAAGTGGCAAGGTCTTAAGAGCAGATGTCTGTGTTATTGGCATAGGTGAGAGAGAATGATCATTATTTTTTCCAGTCTTAAACCAGCATAATGGCACTCGAAGCAATTATATTACGATAATCACATCAAGTCGTGCTGAAATAATTTCTGCTGATTGATGCCGCATGTATCTTTAGGTTCAAGTCCCGCCACAGCGTTTCTCAAGCAGAGTGGAGTGCACATGGACTCCAAGGGCTTCATCACTGTCAACAAGGTATAGAACCTTCATCATAAGTTATTTATGCACTGATACATCTGCTGTACTCTCTCATATGTCAGCTCAGAGAACTGTATTGCTCAGACACTGAATAAATCAAGAAAAGCTCATTTGAAGTATAGCTGTCTTCACCTGCCTAATGCTGTATGTGTTAATGTGTAACTACTCTTCGCTTCTTTATAGATGTAAACGTCAACATCTTCCTATTTCGTTTTCTTAATCAGATGATGCAGACGAATGTGGATGGAGTCTTTGCTGGTGGTGATGTTGTAACTTTTCCACTGTCTTTACGAGGCAATAAGAAGGTGAACATCCCCCACTGGCAGATGGCACACGTCCATGGTAAGCACTGCAGAAAACCAGCATATGAATGAATTGCCAACACGTTCAGACTTTCTTTTATTCATTGTAGCTCCTTTATTGTGACATCCCTGTTACACTGCATATTTTTATTATTCCCGTAATGACATGGCATTATACTACTATATTAAGGCCATGGTTTAATTTAAATTGACTTTCACTGAGACATTTTTAATGTAGGGAGGGTTGCTGCTCTTGGCATGATGGGGAAGACTTCAGAGGTTAGAACGGTGCCTTACTTCTGGACTGCTATGTTTGGAAAAAGCATACGCTATGCAGGTAAATAAGACAGGTAAAATGCAACATCTACAGAGTCAAAATATGACCATTCTGTTATACTATTTTAATTAAACATTCCTAATGTTCTGCTAAGGTTATGGAGATGGCTTTGATGATGTCGTCATCCAGGGAGACCTGGATGAGTTAAAATTTGTGGCATTCTACACAAAGTGAGTATATTACCACAATGTACTGTCCTACTGTTGTCCTTTTTTGACAATATACATCAACTCATTGGTGCTGATGAATTTATTCAAAATACGCCCATTTATCTGGGCAGACCTGAGAAATTTCCACAAGCATCAAACATGACTAAGTGACTATGCTTATTTTTAGTGTTTGGAATCACTTTCACAAATCATGTTTAAATGAGTTCATATAAATTTGGAAGATTTGTTTTATAGAGCTCACATACAAATGTACAATGTGTATTGATATGAAGTAAATAAATGGAACTTGCATTTTGTTTTCTGTGACCAACTTTTACCCCCCTAGAAGTGAGGAGGTGATAGCTGTGGCCAGTATGAATTATGACCCCATTGTGTCTCGGGTCGCAGAAGTCTTTGGTTCTGGAAAGACGATTAAGAAGCGTGATGTGGAGTAAGTACATTTCTCCATCTAAACTCTGGTCCTTACACATAAAAACACACCACCACAATGAACATGATATGCAGGTAGTGAAGTGTGGACAGTCTCTAGACCCTTTTCTGCATGACCAGGTTAAAGGGGATTTTTTTTTAAATATTTGCATAATTAAGTCATGGTGTAAACTAATTGATTTGATGTGAAAAGCACCAATCTAGAGGCACTGAGTCAGTATTATATGCATGGTGGTAATAGGAACTAGATGTCTGAAGTGTCTAAGGCCTTTCAAAGCTCTGGTTCCTTTCTCCACCCAATGTAAAGAAATCTGATTTTGGGACTTTTTTTACATTGCACCATTTCATATCAAACTACTGTGAATAACTTTGTTTACATCTCACCAACTGAATTTTGGATTGTTAAAACTTTGTGGAATTATAGCTTTTAAACTTGTGTGCAGACAGTTCACTGTTTTTCAGTGGCAGGTTTTTATTGCTGTTATTGCCTTTTTCAATTACTGCAACTTTTAATGGCCAACTTTAAGTATGTACTGTAAATTAGAAATTACCCTGCTTTCAGTAACATATGTCCCGTTTTAAATTGTGCTTTCAAAGGATGTTCACCCATGGCAAGTACGGATGCATTTGTGTTTTACAGTACTGTATGCAGGCAGTCTTAAAACATTTTGACAAGTTTATACGATGCTGAATTTGAGGGTCTTTTTGGGTTTTTGTTTTTTTTTTTTTCCGCAGGACAGGAGATATGTCGTGGTTGATAGACAAAGGCTCACAATGAGAATGCTCAGGACTCTGAGCTGACTTTGAAGAAGTCTCTGAGGAGACTTTGAGCTGAAAGCTTTTCCTCTAAGGCCTTCTCATTAAACCCAATGGAACTCTTTATAAGAAACAGCTAGACACTCTGAGTGTTGGAGTACCAGCTGGTGAACTGGGACATTGCATGGGGGACGAGTACCTGAAGACTGACCTGGATGGGTTTATCTGACCCTAAAACTATGCTCACATGGCATGCACCTGCTTAAAGCACTCCAGGGATCTTCCAACCAGGGCTCTGCGTGGAGCTGTAAATACATCTGCTCTCAGTGCTAGCTCGAGAAATGAGCCATAGATGATTTTTAATGTTCTCCAACACTGGAGATGCTGTATGTCGGGATGGTTGGCATCTTTTTTTTTTTCTTCTCCAGTGAAATGCTGATGCAATGTCAAGCTCTGGCCTTCTCTGCTTGTGCACGAAGCATCTACCTGTACACAATGTTTATAAAGGGGCTGTTAAGGGGAAATATGGTTAATTTTGTTTTGTACATGCAACTTTGTATATAGCTGTTACCTGAAATCCCATTGTAAACCATTACACAATGGTTTTGTTTCTACTAAACCTGTGCACAGTTTATAACACTACTGATTAGTTTGGCTATGCTAACTATGGTGTTTAGGAAGATCAAGCATCTGACCTTTGTACAGACATGCAGTTTCAGTGTTTTTAAGCCCCACATTGACATTGTCTTGTTTAGGAATCATCGTGAGAAATCATGTGGAATCTGTAGACACACAATCAAATGATAATTGACATAATGTGAGGTCATGTTATGATGTGATGGACGCCAGGTTTCAATCTACTGAACATATTTATTTTAAAAACATATGCAGATTTTAGATGTCAGGACTTTTTCACAGACTGATTGAAGCCTGGCCTGTCAACACAGCAGACTAGTAGAAATCATCAGTGATATTAAATCTGTAGACACTCAGACCACAGTATTAGTTTGAATGCCCTTTTTCCGCAGTAAAGAAGCATGTCTCCTGGCATCAGGCCCTTAATGCTGACTAACAGCTCTTTACAACGTAAATACAACGTACCTCTTTCGGTAACCTTGGTTGCCTTGCTAGTTAATTGCACAAAGTAATATATATTTAAAGCTATACCTCTATATTAATGCTAGTAAGATAAAACTATAGGCTTGAATTTTCTTGATATCTTGAAATGATTGACTGAATGGTTGATTGACTGATTGATTGACTGATGATTCACTGTATTTTTAGATAGTATGAAATAATTCAGAATGCTGATTTGGTTAGTTTTGACCTCCTGAAGCTCCTTTTTGTTACTAACTCAGGGATAGGAGGTTCGCATCCTGCTTATATGGGGGTTTGTCCTGGTAAAAAAAAAAAATAAACTTGTTGCTTTTATATTCTACCATGTCTTCACTGTGTTTATTCATTCTCTCAGTCGATGTTTAACATGCTCACATACACAGAAGAAACAATTACTTTAAAATAAAATCATGCTAACTTGATTAACACAAAGGCATAACCGAATATTGTGTAACTGAGCCAACTTGAAGAAGACAGAATAATTTTAAAATGATCCACTATTAACAGCAGGTACAATACAAAGGAGTCACAATGCTGGAGCACAGTTTCACCAGTCAGGTACAGAAGACGTTTGACCAAAGATGAGACTGGTGGTTAAATAAATCAAGTACAAAACTATTAGAAAAGTTGGAGAATAAAGCACTTCTATAGAGATATAATAAATTATTATAAAAGGTGAGGATTTGAAAATGACATACACTGAGAAAAAATCTTCATGGAATAAGAACCATAACTGTTATCAAAATAGATGTATTGCAAAAAGCCCTAAATTATGGTTTTTGCATTGACAAAGTATTACTATGCATTTACATTAGTAATGAACTATGAAACTATGGGTCACATAGAGCAAAACACTCAATGGTACGTGGTCATGCTCACAGATCCCTTACACTTTTAAGTGTTTTATCTGCTCAAACACATCAATTATAACTTCATGAAGGTTGTGAAAGTGGTCTGATGAGTTGATTTAGTTGTGCTGGAGTTTATAAAACACAAGAAAGTCAGATGGACTGGAAAACAACGACAGACAAGTTAAAAAAAAAAATCACAACATGGTATACAATATACAGGATACAAGGCTCAATACTATAAGCACATAGCACAAATCTATGATTTTAAAATTGGAGCTCCATTTTTTGAGATTTTGTCCACTGGACATTTTTTTACAAATAACATCTTGGGGTTTTGTGTCCAATCTAAACAAAGTATAAATATTGCCTCAGTAGTTTGTTACACACTACATTGCTGGCTTTAATATAAAAGTAGAAGAGTTTGAGGAATTCAATCATTGCAGTGATCAATTATCAGCAAAACTGATTTAACCTCATTGAAATCACAGCTTAATACAGAAGAGCACACAAACAGATGCATTTACAATTTCGAAAAAAGACAGTAGCAAATCTGACTCACAAAAAAGGCAGTTTCATTTGATCTGAAGCCACATTCAATCATTTTTACCTTTTCTAAGATCGATAAAGCATCTGAGCTTACATTGATGTGATGGTAACTAGATTTTCAGCAACGCTTCTCAAGCAGCTTATGCAACTTTTTACTATAATAAACCCCAGATACCCCAATAACTATATTTACTATAATAAACCCCAGATACAAGATAAAAATTCACAGAATGTAGCTTTAAGAAGTCTTTGAGCCAGTGCAGCTTATTAACATGTAAACAATACTAAGTGAATTAAATATTTGAAGTAATAGTATAGGCTGGTTTTAAAGATCACAGTGAGGTCATATTTGTGTGTCACATTTTTCATACATGTTCATTCACACTGAACAAATAAAAAGGCACTGGGTATTATTATTATTATTATTGTTATGTGGAGTACATAGAACTGACTCCTATGTGATGTGAGAAACACATAGCACATAACGGTCATACCATCTGACTTAAAGATGTGCTTATTTTGCTACTATAAAATGCCCACTGATCTGAAGTCTTCCATGCTGCTTTGTGCTTGGTTTAGAACTCGTATTCCGCTGCACACTGCTGGAGGTATTCTTCATACAGCTTCTTCTGTTTGCAAAAGACATGTACAAATAGCGACTATTAAACAAAATGGTAGAAATAAAAAAGAAAGATCATGCAAATGTAATAGACATGTAATAACAATAGTAAGGAATGACTGTTATGCCTGCACAGAGTAGCCTACAGATTGCTAATTGTTATCGTGATATTAGTTTATGCAATACTGATGTAACACTGCACCTCTAAAACAACCACGGTCAGTCATGTCACGTCATTGTTTCCCCCGTATATTTTTAATATATTGCACTGCAATATGTAGCAATATAACCCCTATACTAGTATTTCGTCCATATCATGCAGGCCCAATGCAAAGTCACAGAATTGATCACCTCAACACTACCATTCAAGTTTGAAATCACTGACAGTATTAACAGTTGTTGTTATTTTATATACAATAACTTAAAAATTGTGGATTCAAATAATACAAGCTATTTGGCAAAAGGTATATGTAAATGTTTTATTTAAGAATTCTGGAAGTCTGGAACAATAACTTAATAATACACCGATCAGCCATAACATTATGACCACCTCCTTGTTTCTACACTCATTGTCCATTTTATCAGCTCCACTTACTGCATAGGTGCACTTTGTAGTTCTACAATTACAGACTGTAGTCCATCTGTTTCTCTGCATACTTTGTTAGCCCCCTTTTACCCTGTTCTTCAGTGGTCAGGACCCCCATGGACCCTCACAGAGCAGGTACTATTTGGGTGGTGGATCATTCTCAGCACTGTAGTAACACTGATGCGGTGGTGGTGTGTTAGTGTGTGTTGCGCTGGTCTGAGTGGATCAGACAAAGCAGTGCTGGGCGACCCCGTCATGTTACACATTTTATTGATTTTCTGAGTGGTAATAAGTTAACATATCCTCTGTGGAGACTTCTGTGCATCTGAATGCACAATAACGGTTTATATGCTGAATCTAACATATTAGGAAAAAACATAAAATGTGGCCTGTGCAAAGTTTTTGGCACATTTTATTTTAGGTTTTATTTTATTCCAATATGATAAATAAACAGAAATTGTGCACAAAAATCTGCAGAAAAATGTCATATTTAAGTTTGTTCCCTGTAGAGGATTTGTTGACTTTCAGTTAAATCAACAAAATGTGTTCAAACCTTTGCCTATGACTGCGTACTGCAATTATTTATACAAATGGACCTATTTTTGTCAGGTTATCTGTCATTTGATGACATACAATGAATTCTGTCTATTAATTTTTTTATGATTAAATTCTTGACGTTCTTAGAATCATCCACAGCTCCATTCGTCGCTCTGGACACGTCTAACATTTCCTTCTTTTTATTTACAGCTTCAGAGTGTCTTACTAGTTATTTGAAACCTCTGAAGCTGTACAGGACTAACATGTTAGAGTAATTTTATAAACTAGCTATTTTGAACAGCTATGAACAATAAAGTATTCACTGATGAACAGCCGCTGCTCGCAACCAAGTCTTACCTTTTTGGCTTTGATGACATCCTGAACGTACTCACTGCACTCCATCAGATTCTTCTTCTCTTTCTTTGTGAGAGTCTTACAGCCTTGGCTGAGGGAGGGGTCAAACACACAGACATGTCAATCAAATGCTGAAACAGCTGAAGGCTGAAGGCTGAGACACAAAACACCTTTTCTGCTCTGCAGATTCGGTCCTGAATGCAGGCTGACAGTAAGAGCAACGGCTCAGCAACAACCAGCACCAACAGCACACAGAAATAAGAGCCAGTCAAAAGCTGATCCAGTCAACGTGTGCTAAAAAACCTTCAACAGTGATATTAAGAAACTGAAGATCAAGTCACACTCAGTTAGGTTTCATTACACTGATTAAAAGCACATAAAAAGCTATGAATAATACACGTCAGCCATAAAGAGGGGCTTCACATTTATGACACAAAAGCAAGCACAGTGATACGTAAACTTAACATTACAGCGCCATCTTGTGTCTGTAAATCACGAGCACCGGCATTGTGACTTCACTTACCGTGCAAAATACCTGGCGAGGAAAAAGAAAAAGTAGCACATCGCTCCAAACACAATGATCGAAACTAACTGTCCATCTTCAGGAATCCATTCCCACAGATACATCACTACTCCCTAAAAAAGAGGACACAAACATCCACATCCATCAGAGCGCATTCCTGAAAAAGGTTAGATTTCAATTTAAGAGTGAGTTCCTTATAAACACTTTATTAATGCAGATGATTGCAAAGGCATGTTGTAATTACATATGAATTATTTCTCATATCTCACTGAAACAAACACAGAAATTCTGTTAAAAATGCAAATTTTACACTGTCAGTCCAGATGTGTTTGTAAGTATAAGAGAAGATATTTTATCATTAATTAAATTTGATTAAAAAAAGTTACTGTGTGTACAGTCCGGTTTTGCAAAAAGAAAATATACAATATATTTTTGCTAGGGGTCCACAATGGCAATTGGCCAAGATGTGAATCTGCCAAGCTCGGAAACCTCCAGACATGTGATTGGCAGTCGGCCCACTTATTATTTCAGTTTTAGACGACTGAGTTGCACTTTTTGATGTAAATAATGAGACATAGGTAAGTGCACTCATGCTGTATTCAAATGCTGCTGCTACACCTATAATAAAATGTCACAGCATAATTATGCCTGACTTTGTGCTGAACAGCCAGCTGCCTCCTACTTTTCTTGTAGCACTTTATTTTACGTCCTGGTTCTGAAATGGGAACCTTACGAATTTAAAGGTCCTCAGCTTATTCTGAAACGGACAACTTAAGAACTTAATTGCCAGTTTGGCCAGTTAAAGAACAACTAATGTTACTCCAGGTGCAGCTTTGCAAATAGAAAGTACTGTAAATGTAACAGTGTGCTTCATGTGTTCACTTGGCCCACACAGTGTGAGCTTTGGGTTTAAAAGAAAAGGATAGTAAAAATTTGCTGCAAAAAAAGCCAATTTAGCTGTAAAAATCTGAATCGGTCATAAAAAATGAATGATGTGTGCTTCTCTAATTTTTGCCATGTCAATTTTTTGACATGGGAACCTACAGAGTTCAGAAGTGCAGATCTGCCAATGCAAAACAAATGAAGCAGAAATTTAATTCCTTACATAATTATGTAATTAGTCATAACTGTATAATCACATTTGAATAGTATAACATGATAGTATAATAGTATAACAAAACAATATTAAGATTTAACTACTAAGGGTTAAAGACATTATGTAAAGAATATGAGTATATGAACAGGAGTGCAAGAGGATACCGTAGACATGTAGAGGACCCTAGCAAGCCCCTCCCCCACTAGTGTGTCTAACTCCTCCGGGGCAAAGGTGGTGACAAGAAAGCTGGTGATGAAGAGCGTGGGGAGGAAGAACGCTAGAAGTCCGCACAGGAACGAGTTGATGAGGCTGCTCTTATTATAGCTCATGTTAGCCCTGTGGGAACAGAGAGGAAGACAATAAGCTCAGCCTTACAGTCAGGAAAGAAAAAATAAAAGCTGACAGTATGGAGGCCGAGCAGTCTTAAAGGAATATTTCGGTGAGAAATCAGATTCACACAATTTTTCACTTACTGCAGATGTAGGTGACCTGCCTAGATATTTTTTTGGTGGCCAAATTAAGCTTCTCTAGTTTAACACTGGAGCTATAAAGCAGACGGTGCAGAGTCAATAGTCACCCAAATCCATAAATACCTCATAAAAACTTTTCAACTTGTTCAAACCACATCCAGGTCTTCGTTAAGGCTGTGCAGACTTGTTTCTGTGATTTGGAACACAGTATGACTGACTGAACGATAAAATGAACAAAACTGCACTGTGTAGCTGAATTCTGGGGCAGCTATTTTAGAGACCAGGGGTGTTACACAGGCAGCTTTTAAGCAGCTTGAGTGAAGTTTTGAAGTTTTTGCAATTTGGGTGACTACTGACTTCTAGTGTTTGCTAGCAACGTAAGCCTTGTAGCTCCAGCGCTAAACTAAAGAAGCTAATTTTGGCTGTGAAACATATCTAGACTGATCGGCTACTGGGAATTTGTGATTTTCGTGGAACTGTTCCTTTAAAGATCTACTGCTTTGATATAGTGTCCACTCTAAAAATAAAAGTTTCAAAATGGTTCTTTGGTTCTAGGAAAAACCTTTATCAGGTGTAGAACCTTTACATTGTGTGAAGGCTTCTTTAAACTTTAAAAGGTTCTTCACACTCATGTCATTCATAAAAATGGTTCTTTAAAGAACCATTCATTGAAAGGTTCTATAGGTCACAAAAAGTAGTTCTTCTGTGGCACCGCTCCGAAGAACCCTTTTAGGCAGCTTTGTTTACAGACAGATCAACTAATGTAATGACAGAGTGATGGAAAAATGGACGGCTAAGTAAACAGGCTGTGAGTGAGTCAGTCTGACTCAGTCAGTGTGAGGATGTATTGTGTGAATAGGGCTGCTAGCCTGCATGTTATAATTACAGGTCTATGTAGTGTTGTAACGCAGTGCACAGCATAAGTGTAGAAGAGAAGAGAAGAGGATGAAGTGGAAGCTGAAGGAGGGGCATTCCGGACCTGTCCTGGGCCAGCTTATTGCTGATGGTGGAGGTGATGAGGTCACAGTCTTTCTCCAGCTGGTCCAGGGTTTTCTGCACAGCTTGGTTAATGCTCTTCTCTATTGTCTCACACACCCCGTCGATTTGATTCACACACCTGCTCGGCTGATTGAAAACACAAATATACAAAATAAGGACAGATATAAAAACAAAACAGCGAGTAAAAAACTACAAACTTATAACATTCACACTTAAAGAAACTGTAGACAGCTGCAAGACTACAGAGATCAACCATAGTCCTGGCCTATATTACACGGTCAGTGGAGATTTCCTTTTGGAAAGGCTTTTATTGAAGCACAGTGGTGATACTCATCTAGTAAACCAGCCCTTAATGTGACGGTCTGAGGTAAACAACATGTACCGAATATGTAGTATAGTGGTCTTTGCGCTCAGCCCAATAAAAACCATTTCTATGTGCAGTTTAAAGTGAATGTGAATTGGAAATGACAGCGTTTTCCTTGTTTACCGGGTTGTAATTCCACGTGAAATAAAGTTTGCACAGCCCTGGCCAAATGTTTTGAAGTGAGAATAAGTTAACACATGCTCTATAAATATGTATGGCATTTTCTGCACATCATGTTGCACAATTTCTGTTTATTTGCTGAGTTTAACATGATTTTTTATTGAAAAAAATATATATATGAAATACAAAATGTGCCATAATGTTTGCACAAGCCACATTTTATGTTTTATTTCCTCCCCAGTATGTTAGATTTAGCATAAACAGTAACTGTAATTGTGCATTAAAATGTGCCGAAGTGCGCTGTCTGTAGAGGATGTGTTGTACACGTTTTTATTTTTTTCCATGACGTCCAGAGTGTTTGCTTGGTTTTTATGGAACAAAACACTGATTTGATGGAACAAACCTTCAAATAATATCTTCGGTTACACTCAGGTAACGTCTGCTAAGCAACATAAAGATCACTAAAGAGTCTTAACTCTGAACTTGCGTGTGAAAATCTGTGCTATTTCCATATTAATGCTGCTGAAGCAGAAGGATTTTGGCTGTGAATGACTACAGTGAAGATAGTGAGGTCCAGCTCTGCTGAGGGAATTCTCAGCTGACAGACGCGCTGCTGCAGAGCGACATAAATCCGTTTCCTCTGACGCAGCAGCTGCAGCAGACAGGCGCGCAGTTACTCATATCTCATTCCCTGGCGTAGGGCGTGTGATGCACAGTCTCTCAACCTATACTGAAGACACATCCTCTACCGTTACTGACCTCCAGTGCCGTCCCTCTAAGTCATCAAGACTACTAGTGCAGGCATTTCTGATTCTGCTAGATTCTGTCAGTCATGGAAAAACATGCACTTTTACCATTTTTATTTATATACTGTCGTATGCAAAAATGGTTTGTTGATTTTCTAAGTAAAAGTAAGTTAACACATCCTCTACATACCTCCACGCATTTCTGCACTTTTTCATGCACAATTACTGTGTATTTGTCAAACTCACATACGAATGTGCTGCTTTAGTTTTACTAATGAATTAAAGTTAAAATTGTCGATATTTTAACAAACTGAAGTTTATCATAGCCAATGGAGCTATTTTTAAAGGGAAACTACAGACCATCTCAGGCCTTTATTTAACCATTTGTATGTCTATTTTCTTGTATTAAAATAAATCTGTACTTATTTTGTAGTTTTATGTCATTTAGTTATTTATATTCTCTTTAAAATGTCATTTAATCTCTGCTTAATCTTGTTTTAGCATTTTAGTGTTCATTTGTACTACCTTTCCTTTTATTTCTTTCTGTGAAGCACCTTATGCTGCATTTCATGTATAAAAAAAATGTACATCCTGTACATCTCCTATCCATATCTTGTATAATTTGGAATATATATCAGTATTCTATCCCCTGTTTATCTATGTCAGATTCTCATATTGCGTATATGGAAATGTGTACAACTGTACATATTATAGCTTTTTCATAATTTATATTACTGTACAAAAACTGTACATTGGACTGGTGCAACACTGGTGTACACTAATGTGTATATTGTGTATGTGTGCATATATTTAGAGTCTAATAATATATAATTTTTCTCTAATATATATATAAATCGCTGCTGTCAGAACAAAACCACATATCTCCAAAAACTTAACTTTAAAGCAAAAGGAAAAACTTTTTTTTTAATACTTTTAAAAATTTACTACATTAGAACTTTTAATATGATTTACCACTTTAAAAAAGTGAAACACTGTCGTATGTATGTTAATATGTAGTAAGCAATATGTAATAAATCATTTTGTACACTGTTGCCTGGGTTACCACTTATTTAGCAATTTATGTAAGATGTGGGTTTTTTTTTTAGTGTTAATTAAGGAATTGTTGCTGTCTAAAGACAAACATGTGTCTCCTAAATGGTAACTTTACAGGGTGAAGGGTAAAAACTGTCTTAACTTTTAATGTAAGTTAATGTGAAGAGATTTTATTCCATGTGATTCTGTACTTTTTATTGCTCCATTCATCATGAAATGTTTACACCATGTGAAGGACAGCAGCCATGTTCAAATGATGTAGAACAAAAATAAAAGTCAACAAAAAAAGGAAATACATGTTGTTCTCTGGACAGCAACAAAATGAAAAAACGAATAATTCTATAACCGAAATCATTTTCATTTACGAGGAAGTGTTAAGTTCTATCGTCCAATGTTTTTAGAAACTGTTATTTTTTAGCTGTAGAGGTCGAATCAATCAATGTTAGTCTGGCCTATTAATCAACCAAGAAAATCTTTAATTAGGGACAGACCTACTGACATCGAGCCTGCAGCAGAGCCTAATGGAGCTGTTCTGAAGTCGCAGTAACAGCCCTGTTGCACAATTTAAAATATCAAATTCAATGCTTTTCATTACCTTTTTACGATCCCAACAAAGCAGAAACAATATATTTGGAACTGCACAACAGGGCTGTACTGAATTATTGTAATATATAGTGTAAAATATAAAATAAATGTTTCTTTAGGAATCATCTCAGAATTGAATTAGGGATTAATCAGGCACTTATTCTTCAATCTGATCAGAGTTCTTTTAAATGTATCAGCTGAGACAGAGTCTAATCCAGGGGTGCTCAAACTTCATCTTGAGGGGCCAAAGTGCTTTGTGAACGGCTAACAGCCAAAAAGACAACACAATATATAAATAAAAGGATTAAAAGGTTTTTTACAACATGATAGTGTATTTTGTGACTGAAGTATTTCAAACTACAACATTAACAAAAAAAACACAAATTGAACTGATGTATTATAATCAAACGTCCTCTTCGGCCAACTTTAGCCCACGGGTCACACTTTGGGCAGAGCTGGTCTAGTTCAGTCTTTGTGTTTTCACAGATAATACTGCTGCATAATTTGGATATTAGGTTTTAGCATGTGCATAACCTGACATTCTGGACTGAAATGATTACAGTTTTGTCTCTCTTTTTTAAAATGACTATTTTATAGTATGTGTAATATTTACTTGCGATTTAGTTTTATTTACCACCCCAATGATGTGTCTACCGGTTACTTTAATACGCGGTGGATCTCTGATATGTGCATCTCGAAGACGCAAGAGAAAATTGTGCCGGCAGGAATTTATTTTCTGCACACAGAAAACACACTAGAATAGCTGGATGCTCACTGTTTACGTGCCGGTCTCACGAAGAAATGCAGCTAAAGACAGTAGGAACGCAGACATTTTATCTTGACACTGCAGATATCATATACAGATATTTTAAGTTTTCTTTTCCACCTTAAAGCATTTCCAGACTGTTTTGTTACCTTCTAAAAATGCTCCTCACTGCTGCAGGTTGTGGTTAATGTGTGTCTATGGCTCCTCTACTACAGTGGAGTCAATAATGAAGCAAATGGTCCAAACTGGATCAGTCGTATTTTAGCTGATACCCAGTCCATGAAAATATGCTTGGACATCTTCAAGTGTAACACTTCTAATCGTAAAATAGAGGACATTTTCGGAGATTTATAAATCTATTCTAAGACTTTTTAAGGGTCTGTGTGAACCCTGAGCAAGAATGTGAAAAGACAATTTGCCTCAATTTCTCAATGAAGTCGTTTATCTCTTACACTGAGTCAGTGTTGTTATCCTTGTTGTTAATACTGTATGAAGCATAATGTAAACGCCTTACTCTCTGCGGATTGGGGATGTATATTGTGGGCATCTCAAAGCCGCATTTGTTGAGTCCCGGTCTGCGGCACAGCTCTTGAACGATCTGCATCATCACTCTCTGTAATCAGGAACAAAAAAAAGAATGAAAAGGCAATAGATTAGCTGGCGGAAAGCTGCTCCAGCACACAGGAATAGATCAGCCTTTTCTCCACATCAGGCTGACTGAGAGACAGTCTCTCTTCAAGCAGGGTGACGGATGCTGATGTTTGACTTCCTGGAACAGGATACACATGCGCGCACGCACAGCCACACCCACCTGTCTGTCTGTCTCTCGTCCCGCCTCGTCAGCTTTACTGAGGTAGAAGCGTAATTTGTCTCCACATTTCTCGCTCAGCTTCTCCACGATGTTGAGCGTTCGCTTACACAGCGCCTGCCCCATCGGGTCGAAAAACACGAAGATCAGATCCGCCTGCTCGCCTGAAAAAAGACAAAGAAAAAACAACAAATCAGCATCTCAGTCAAACACAGCCACACAGCCCTGCAGCAGACAACCGATACAGCGAGTGGTATCAGCGAGTGGACGGGCTATGCAGGAGATTTACTACTGCTGAAAACTAGGGATGCAGGATAATATCGGAATCATATTAGTATCTGCACATAATTTCATTTTTAAAAATTAGCATTGATAAGATGTTAAGATGTGATTGATATTTCAAACTGATATTTGATGATGTTCTGCTCTCTGGACTATTAATTACATTCCAGAGAGCAGAACATTTAGCCCAGTTTGGGTTACTGTGCTAAAATGCCTGCATTTGATTCATTTTACTGCATTTGAAACCCTGTAGAAACACATGTTGCACGTCTCTGCGAGGTTAAATCCAGGATTTTGACCCAAATTAAGCAGTTTATACAGTCGTACGCGAAAGTACCCCTAGTCAAATGACACATTTTGTTATAAAAAATAAATTAACACATCCTCTACAAATATGCCTTTAAAGTTTTAGTGGTTAATTTCTATTTATAAAACATAAAAAAATAATATGTGCCATAACTTTTGCACACACTATATTTTTCAATTTCTTAAATTCATCAAATTTTACTGCCCATTTAAAATTTTAGTGCATTTAAATATGGAGAAGTGTGTCCTCTCTAGAGGACGTCTGTCGAAAAGCAACAAAATGTCATCTGAATGGGGTGCCCAAACTTTTGCACATGACTGCATGTGCATAAAAAATACCAGATATTGTCATACCAATATTCCCACATCAATTAATAATTTAGAATAAATTTTTTCGATATTAAACCAAAAGGGTTGCAGATACATGTATAAAATTATTATAATATGCGAATCCTGAGCAACTGTAAACTGGAATCTGTGAAGAGATATTAAACACCATACTAAAATGACTAAGAAAACTGAAAACAATCCAGAATGCCTTATGTTTAAAAAGTGAACAAATCTGGAGGTGGATAAATTTGAAACAGCTGTAAATAGGATATTATTTATCAGGTAATATGTTCTTGTTCCCCAATTACATCTAAACATCTAACAAATCGTTTGGCACCTAGTTTATAACATATAAACACACTGTATAAATTATTAATCTATAGAAACTGAACATATAAATAAGACAGGAGTTCGAACAGCAGTGTAAATGAATGTGTTATTTAAATGACCAGTCATTTCCATAACGCATGACTGACCTCAGCTCAGACAATTCTGAATACGAGGTGCCTGTGCTATTCATTCTTACCAAACGACGTGATGGCGCTGTTGACATCGAAGGGGTAGATCATGTCTCCGTCCACCAGCCCCGGGGTGTCCACAAACGTCACCAGGCTGAATTTCTTCTGCTTGGAGGTGGAGATCTCAGCAGACAGGTAGTCCGTGACACCTACAACACACAACTACAGGCATACATAAAAACGCTACAACACGAGGGCTTTTTGTTGCACTGTTGTCGTTTCAAAACCTCATAACTTTTTGTCTTTAACTTTATTTTAGATTTGAAAATGCCAGCTGTTCTTTACACTGTGTGAGCAGTTCATAATGAAGGGATCCGAAATAAACAAAACATGTGAAATATAATAAATAACAAACATAATAAAATAAATGAAATAATCATAATCATGTTACATTAATGTGAAATAAAGTTCAGAACACTTTTTCCTTCTCTTATAAAGTGACCATTTTTGGGTATTAAAAGTTTTAAACTGATGCTATGAAGTCTGACAGCTAAACTAGAGGCAAACAGTGCAACAGCTGCAACAGTTTCTCTCGTTTGTCATCATCTGTCAAAACCAAAGACAGCTAAAAAAAACAGAGCCCTTTTCATTTTGACATCACTTCAACAGAGCACTACGTTATTAACCTGTTGCATTTGTCACAACATAAAGATCTCTTTGGGTGGCTCTGAATGACAGGTCTCGTCAGGGCTCGGCCACGCCCTCTCTCTGCTACGGCAGGTGGTCTGTTGTCATGGTTACCCACAACAGCTCTTCAACTGGCAGCTTTAAGGCAGTGCCACATAAAGCTAGCCAGTGAAGAACGACTGTGAAGCAACGCCCAGCCAGCGACCGCCTGCCTGTCAAAGACCTCAGCTCTGTCACGAGGAATTACATGGAATGACGTGTGATTTGTCTTACAGGCAGTCAGTCAGTCGGTAAAATACTTTCTTATGCTATTAAATTTTTAGTGAAGACATTTCTCTGTGGCCTAAATAATTACTCCATGTACTACAAGCACTGTATTTGATTCAGTGTTGCGGAAGTGGCTTTACCCTCTTAATGTCCATATTGGTTTGACTGTAATCACTAAATAACTGCATAGTAATTACTGCATAATAAGCTGACAGGCTGTCACTAAATTCTATATTAATAACTGAGTAATCAATTGATTTTTTCCTGACGAATAATTAGGTAACTAGATGTTTTTAATAAAATGCCAAACAATAAAAACAGACTTGACTGAGCAAATAAATCATTCATATACTTACAGAGGCTCTTTATAAGAATACTTTTCTGATGAAAATGAATTAGAAAGCCTTAAATATATATAAACACACACTCACCATGCATTTTATTAGGAACACCTCTTTGTATCTACACTCAACGTCCATTTTATCAGCTCCACTTGCTTACAGGAGCACTTCGTAGTTCTACAATACAGACTGTAGTCCATCTGTTACTTTGTTAGCCCCCTTTCACCCTGTTCTTCAATGGTTAGGACCCCCACAGAGCAGGTAGTACTTGGGTGGTGGATCATTCTCAGCACTGCAGTGACACTGATGTTGTGGTGGCGTGTTAGTGTGTGTCCACTCACTGTCCACTCTATTAGACACTCCTACCCCCATTCCTATCGTCAGAGACAGTAGCTCATTTGTTGCTGCACAGTTTGTGTTAGTCCTTCATCATTTGTCACAGGACACTGTAGGCTGGATATTTTTGGTTGGTGGACTGTTCTCAGTCCAGCAGTGACACTGAGGTGTTTAAAAACTCCAGCAGCACTGCTGTGTCTGATCCACTCAGACCAGCGCAACACACACTAACACACCACCACCACGTCAGTGTTACTGCAGCGCTGAGAATGATCCACTACCCAAATAGTACCTGTTCTGTGAGGGTCCATGGGGGTCCTGACCACTGAAGAACAGGGTGAAAGGGGGCTAACAAAGTATGCAGAGAAACAGATGGACTACAGTCTGTAATTGTAACTACAAAGTGCACCTGTATGGTCAGTACAGCTGATAAAATGGACAATGAGCGTAGATACAAGGAGGTGTTCCTAATAAAATGCTCAGTGAGTGAAAACAAATTAAGGCAACACAGCTTGTCATTGGACCAGGGGTTCCCAAACTTTTGCATATTTACATAAACAATGTGGAGAAAAAAACGGATAAATATGGATAAATATCTGCATAAATGCATAAATATCTCTGTTTCTTCCTATAAGAGAAACTGGGAGAATTTTAAATATGCATTATCATCACGCAAATCTGCAAATTTACTGAGAAAGTAAATATTAATCAATGTTTTTTAATCGATTAATCGTTAGATGTAAACTTAATAACTGAACAATCAGCCGGCTGTTTAAAGGGTTAAGAATGACTCCTCAAATCTGGTTGCAGTGGACACTGAAGTTCTTTCAGCACGGAGGGAGCAGGTGGTCATGATTTCGTACAAACCACAGTCCTGTTCCTCCACTAATTAACATTCTCTCCCATATCAAACCCCTCAGTCTATTCATCTCTCCATCTCTGAAGCGACACAAAACACTACATACATAATAGCATGTTTTAGAAAGCAACCGTCTCACAGACATAATCCCCAAACTCATGCACCACAACGGTCATCTATATTCCAGTGGCAGCATCTGCACTGACCCTGCAAAGCCATGCAGTGACTAAGACCGCTAGCATTTCTCACAGGCAGGGTGCAAGTGGCATGGCAGAGACACTGCGCAAGCAGGACTTAAAATAGCCCGGAAAATAGATTTAGAATCTGATGCGCCTGGCCGCATGTGACAGTGTCCAACCTCTGCTCTTTAAGCACATTGAAAGGTGAAGAGGCAACGCGCTGCCCGGTCTGCCGATGGGGGTAGCAGGACTTGGTGCGCAGAGGGAAAGGTCAAAGGTCGGGAAAGTGCTGTGTCACCGTCAGGCCGCAGAGCAGCACTGCGGTGAGCCTGACGCCGTGGTGGCAGAACGTAGTGCAATATGACATGGCCAAACCACGCCCATATTTTGCACCAATCAACCATTGCGGGCCACACCCGTTTGATCAATGAAATTGATCGGTACATTTAAACTAGCATGATCAGAAAGCAGCCCAATTGCAAAGGCTAAATTGCCTATAGTGCACTAATTTACAACTAAACTAGTGCGTACTGGTAAAAGGCACATGTACTTATGGTTTAACTGGTACACACTGGAAAAAGAAACAAGCATATATGACACATGCTGGTAAAAGGTGCATTTATTTATGACTTAACTGGTGCGTACTGGTAAAAGGTGCATGTATTGACGACTTCACTGGTATGCCCTAGTAAAAGGTGCATTTATTTATGGCTTAACCGGTGCATGCTGGTAAAAAGTGCATTTATTGATGACTTAACTGGTGTATACTGGTAAAAGGTGCATGTATTCACGACTTAACTGGTGCATACTGGTAAAAGGTGCATGTATTGATGACTTAACTGGTGCATACAGGTAAAAGATGCATTTATTTACAGCTTAACTGGTGCATAGGGGTAGAAGGTGCATGTATTTACAACATAACTGGTGCATACCGGTAAAAGATGCATTTATTGACAACTTAACTGGTGCATACTGGAAGAACATGCATTTACTTATGGCTTAACTGATGCATACTGGTACAAGGTGCATGTATTGACGACTTAACTGGTACATACTGGTAGAACATGCATTTATTTACAGCTTAACTGGTGTATAGGGGTAGAAGGTGCATGTATTTACAACATAACTGGTGCATACTGGTAAAAGGTGCATTTATTTATGAGTTACATGGTGCATACTGGTAACCAGTGCATGTATTTATGACTTAACGGGTGCATACTGGCAAAAGACACATGTATTTACGGCTTAACCAGTGTGTGCTGGTTACTGACAGAGTGAAAGCAATCAGTCCACTGAGCACTGCAGATCTGTGACTGACTGCACTCAAGGCTTTCACAGTTTCACATTTGTCTGAAACTAATAATCTGACATTTGCCAGTTTGAGGTGTTGCATTTTGCATAATTTTAACGCAAAATCTTTGCCCTTCACAGCAGTGACGTGGGCTCGTGTCCATATCGCCCTACCCACGTCAGAGCTGACTGTCCTGCACTCTTATTATTTACACTCTCTCTCTTCTCTGACGCTGAGCTGTTGTCAATCGGAGTGACTCAGTCTCGCCTGATCTGCACTGGATGAACCCACTCTGCCCACTGAATACTGACTGCACAATCACTGTGCAGTCATGACGTGCTCCGACACGCCCAGAAACCAAATCCCGACCACCTACCTCGGTCACAGCGCAGTCAAAATAATGAAGTTGAACAATTAAATCAGTGAATCAGAACAACAGACCTTAAACCTGATGTGGTTCGAAATCATAATCACAGCCGCTCTCACGCAAACTAGATCGGTCTCGGTTTATACGTGCACAGTGACGGTAAATTGACTGGCTATAATAGGCTTGATTACTGATGAATATGAATAAGATGTTGTGCCGTGCTTCGCAGCCTGAAGTAGCTACGGCGAACTGTATATATCCAGCTGTGACTCAGTTTCAGGCATTAGTCATAGCTTTCAAACACGTCATTACATACTGAATGGACTAAAACTGGGAACTGGGACAGTTAAACCTATCAGCAAACCACCAGTAGGAAAAAAAATACTTACATATATTCCTACATATAGATATACACACATATATAAGCACATATATATATATATATATATATATAAATAAAAGAGAACACATCTAAGTTATTACTTTACATTACCTATTACATATTTTGCTCCATCACTCCCTACGGTTACTTACTTATGCAGCATGCAGTTACAGCAACATGTGTCATGAACTGTCTAGAATTGCATAAGCCACATGTAGCCTGTCCACAATCATCTTAAACCACACTGAGTAACAACACGTAAAAACACAAAACACAAGACATGAATACAAAAGAGACCAAACACCCTGTCCCTATAAGCACTGCCAATCCAATATGTTCACAGGTCCTATTCTAGAGCCAGAAGCATTTTAGAAAACCTGGCAAAGCCCAAACAGAGACATTCTAGACTGCTTACAGATTATAGAACGCTGTGAAACTTATCTACGGATATGGAGACACATTCAAGAAGCAACTCGGAATCGTAAAGTATCGCACGTCCTGTAACACGTAACATCTGTGATTGTACAATGCTGACTAATTCCTACCTTTAAACTCCAGGAGCGGTCTGAAATGTGGGTAGAGGTGGAGCGTGGCATTCCCCTGCGAGGAAAAGAGAGAGAAAGAGAAAGAGAGCAAAAACGTGAGCGTGAGAAAAACGAGAGCGGCAACAACATCGAAAATGCAAAGTGATGATGAAGAGAGGAGAGCGCTGAGCGTGTGTGGAGTGAGAAACCAGGCCCAGCTATAGGGAGACACCCTTCTCTCTCTCTCTCTCTCCCTCCCTCCCTCTCTCTCTCTCTTTCTCTGTCAGGGGCTTTACTGCAGCTCTTTCTCTCTCCGGCAGTCAGCTTTAAGCTCTTCCTGTATATAGCAGATAATCTCTTTATACCACTCCTTTAGTGCAATTACATTATTCATCTTCCTGTCTTCACACACAGTGAGAATGAGAGAGAGAGAGAGAGAGAGAGAGAGGGAGAGGGAGAGAGAGAGAGAGAGAGAGACGTGCGCTGCAAAACGACACTGTGGCTTTAAGACAACCCCCCTTTCTCTAGAACAAACCACTGACACAGCTATCATACAGTCCTCTCCCTCCCTCTATCTCTCTCTCCTCTCTCCTCTCTCTCCCTCTCTCTCTTTCTATCACTTTCTCACACACACATACAGAATGTAGTCACTGTCAGTCCTAAAGCTTGCTATATTAGTTTGTACACAGTCTGAGGTGCTGTCTGATCAACAGAAAGGTCACTGACATAAGAAGGTATCTGACATAAGATTATATTATTATTATTATTATTATATTATAGAGTTCTTCAGTTCTAGTCCTGGTAGGCTGGTGTCCAGCAGAGTTTGGTGGTTTCCTTGTTTAAAAATGATCTATTTAATCTGGAAACTAATACGTTGAATCAGGTGTGCTTGATTAGGTAAATCACCAAACTGTCCTGGACACCCGCTCTCCAGGACTGAAAGCGAAGAGGCCTGACCTATATGAAGCTGACCAAACAGACACACTATGCTGCAACGTCTCTCACGCTCTTCATAAAACCCTGCGTCTCTGTTTTTGCCATTCCTTTTACTTTTTTGCATTATTTAAAAACTTCAGTTACCATTTGCATGAAGAACAAACCAATAGTAAGTAAGTTACCCTTTATTGATTCCACAACGGGGGAATTCACCTCCGCATTTAACCCATCTGTGCAGTGAAACGCCCACATACACACTAGTGAATACACACACACTAGGGGGCAGTGAGCAGGTACTGCAACACCAGGTCGATGCGTGGAGTGGACGGAAATCGATTTAATATCGCTGCTGTCGGGACAAAACCTTGTATCTCCATTTTTGTCGTTTTTCAGTTTTTGACATAATTTGAAAATGCCTGTTGCTTTTTACATTATGTGTAAATTTACTGATGAATGGACCAAAAGAAATAGCCAGAAATTATTTAGGAAAAAGTCTGGTTCCATTGACTTACATTAAAAGTAAAGTATGTATTTTTCTTCTCCTGTAAAGTTACCATTTTAGAGATACAAGGTTTTGTTCCGACAGCAGCGATGTGTAGTCCTCATACAGAGGACATATCAGATATTAAACTGATAAGAACAGATACTACACTTGATCTTGGCCAAAAGGCCGAGAAGCAAATCAACAGAAATGAAAGAAAAATCATCAAATAAAGTTATGGATGTCTCCTGTAAAGCTACCATTTTGGAGACAGAAGGCTTTGTTCCGACAGCAGCGTTATACTACCTCACAGCAGGGCTGGGCAACATAACATTTATCATCATCATTGGAGTACGGAGCAGATATCGTCTGCATGCTTCCTTAAAACAGAGCACAATGAGTTCTGTTTAAGTAGATGTAGTGCAGTGCAGTGTGTCAAACTCTGAATACAAACCATTCTATTCATAGTTATTCATAGATAGTGCTTGTTAATGTGGCAGTACTGGTTCTTTTCTCAGTTCCAACTTATCAAATCTTAGAAAAACTAAATATTGTGACGTATATCATGTAGCATTAAAATGTCTTGAAGTTCTGTGATGTAATTTTTTGTCATATCACCCAACCCTACATCACAGCATCATTACTTTTGCAAAAGTTAGACTGGAACCATTTAGAAAGCATAACTAGAGACTTCTTCTTTTCCAGTACCGATACTGAAACCTCGAGTCTTGCCCGATACCAGTTTTTTCTTTAAAAGCTACTAAGATGTTTTAAGTTGAATCACTTCACTTCAAATAAGCATCTAAAAGTAGTCCATCATGTTCAAACTGTATGTGTTTCTGTATTTGCAGAGTCATTTTGATTAAAGTGTTTTCTGAGTTTGTGGCTCATTTCTATTTATTATTGCTAATTGTATTAGCAACCATTTCATGCAATGTCTTTCTGTGAGTAAGTATTTAGAGGCATAGAACGCTTCAGACGTCTAGTTTCTATCACCACCACTATGAATTCTATTAATTCTGTTTCTTTAGAATGGAGTGTTGTACATAAAATTATTCTGAATGACTTTCTGTATATCTTACTTATTTACTTATGTAAAAAAACTGAAAAAATCAGTGGAATTTTTATTCAAACCAGGACCTCAGGATCAAAAATGTTAATGAACCTGAAAATATGTGTATCAAGGCACCTCTAATAAACAGATGTCTTATATGACTTTTGTAAAATTCACACAGTAATTTAATAAGGTGGAGATTAGAGCCCGACCGATATATTTTTAAGACCGATACCGATTTTGATATTTAAAGATTTAAAAATCCGATATTTCCGATATATCGGCCGATGTTCTTTTTTTCTTTTCCAGAATTACATAAAGAGTTTCCCTAACATTTGTTATGTGTGGTTATTTAAGGGTCACCAAAATAGTATGACATAATGCAGTTTAAAGATAAAATCACAACTATGGGATTTCACACACTAACGTTAGTGTTACGAACACAAACATCTGTCATTTTATCATTTAAAGAATTTATTGATTAGGCGGATCACATGCAGGAACATCTGAACATGGCGTGTTACTCAGAACTATACTGGAGCTCTTTTTTGAGAACTGAATAACATCTCACAGCATATTAATGCACTCTAACAAAATAGCGCCACCACAACACACACTATACATTTGAAAGAGAAGCGAGTTAACTTTGTTTGGTTAACTAAGCCATGTCAGATACTTGTTTGGATCACATTTATTTTACATCTCTCCTCTGGTTTAATCATTTCCAATGACTACAATACCTACAGACATGCGAGTCACAGGTATATAAACCACTGCTTCATTTAGGCATGAGGCGGAAGTTGGCTTCCTATTCTCTAGGTTTTTTGTCTGAATTATCCCGTTCCACCTTAAATAGTGCAGCACTTACATTCTGACCCCTGAGGCTACTGCTGTAACTGCTGCACCATTTAAGGTGGAACAGGAAAATTCGAACAAGAAGCTGGAGAATAAGCAGCCGACTTCAGCTTCGTCATTTAGGCAGAATAGCTACAGTTTAACTGCTCATTAACGTGTTTTCATTATAATTTAAATAAAGTATGCCACATGACAAATATCAGCTCCCCATGAACGCTGATGATCTCCTTAGTGTTCGACTCAGGGCAGCTGTCTGTTGTGATTTGTGGTGTTTCAAAAACGTGTGTGTTGCCAACCGGGAAGTTGCCGAGTGTCCTCTCATGGACAAACGACACAACAACAACACTTATTAACATGGATAAAGCATCTGTCTTCCATCTCTCTGTTTCTTTTTTATTTGTCATTTATCGACTGTTATAAAAGCTGATAACAATTTATCTGCAACTAGCTGGTATCGGCCAATAATATCAGCATGCCAAATTATCGGTCGGGCTCTAGTGGGGATCCTTTTGCAACTTTCATGACACTAATTTGGGAACTTGCAGTGAAAACGATGGGGAATGGTTTATTTGGACCCCCGTTAGCCGTGCCAGACATCACTCTTCCGGGGTCCACATGAACATGAAAAAACATTACGCATGATTCCATGTAGAACACTGCACAGCCTTACATTGTATTAATGTAGCTGTTTAAGCTGCACCCTGCATAATATAAAACAACCCATAACTGCAATACAACAATTCTATCCAAGTCAATTTTATGAATTTGGTCAAAAATAAATGACATAAAATAATCATAATGATCCGTAGCAGGTCATGTATGCTGTAATACAGATTCGACTGACCGCTTTATTAAATAAACCTCCTTGTATCTACACTCCTAGTCCATTTTATCAGCCCCACTCTGTAGTTCTACAATTACAGACTGTAGTCCATCTGTTTCTCTGCATACTTTGTTAGCCTCCTTTTACCCTGTTCTTCAATGATCAGGACCACCACAGGACCACCACTAAGCAGGCATTGTTTGGGTGGTGGATCATTCTCAGCACTGCAGTGACACCGACGTTTGGGTGGTGTGTTAATATGTGCTGTGTTGGTCTGAGTGGATCAGACACAGCAGTTCAGCTGGAGTTTTTAAACACCTCAGCATCATAGCTGGACTGAGAATAGTCAATCAACCAAAAATTTAATATAAGATAGGGGTGTCTAACAGAGTGGACAGTGAATGGACAGTCATTTGCCAGTGTTTAAAAACTCCAGCAGCACTGCTGAGTCAATCCACTCGCACCAGCGCAACACACACTAACACACCACCACCACGTCAGTGTCACTGTAGTGCTGCGAATGATCCACCACCCAAATAGTACCTGCTCTGGTGGTCCTGTGGGTATAAGGTACAGGGAGATGCACTTAATGAAGTGGCTGGTTGGTGTGTGTGTCTATATCAGAGATGTATTACCAGCCTAATAAACCATGTACACTGCAATAACACCTTATAATAATGAAGAACTAAAACAGGGAGCCTGAACTTAAACTTACGGTCAGCGATTCTCTTTTCCTGCCGCTGGTTATAAATGTGAACCCTTGCGTTTCTATGGCAACACCTGTCTTCTGAATGTGCTCCTCCACGTACCTGAAATGACAATAAAAATAACAGTAATACCCATAAAAAACAATAATAACAATAATAATATTAATAATATTAAATAGAAGAAACATTTTAAAGAAAGACAAATACAGATGCCATGATCAGATATGAAAAACTGATTAACAATTTCACATTATAAAAAGGTACAGCTGGTCTTATGCTACATGATTCTGCATCAAAAACAGGCTGTTTCTATCCCAGCAGGCAATGTGACATCTGCCCCAAATTATAGAAGCCCTATTTTTGTACATCTTTTCAATCAGAAACTGTTATTACAGGGCAGCGCGGAATATAATGGCCAGTGTGTAGTTAACGGTTCAGCGTGTAGTAAAAAAGTTGTTACCAGTTAATAAAGGAGCTTTTCCCAGCAGAGTGGTTCCCCATAATCATCACTATTATCTTCTTTCGAGGTGGCAGCAACCTCAGCCCCAGACTGGAGGCTATTTTCACGAGGCCTGGAGAGCATATATACATACAGAAAACATGAGGCTGCAGATCACCAACAACAGCGTTTTTCGCTCAGTAACGGTGGTTGTATGGCTGTAAGCACCGTTATAGTGGTCATTTTAACAATGAAAAGGCCGATATCTGACATTTTTCTTGTATTTAATTTTTCCCTTGAGATCAATTTATAACAATTGTGTGGTTTTAAGTACCAAAAGTGGTCATAATTCATTTTAACATGACCATTTTCAGCCTCTTTTTAGCCTTTAGAGTTTAACAGGCTGGTTTTGTTACTGTGCCTTTAAGACTGATATATTTAAATGATCTCTGTTCTGATTGGCTATACTGTGCCATATTCATTGAGCTGAAACACTCCTTTGAACTTCAATAAGCACGGGCATGGTTAAACTGCTGTAGGCTGAATGAGTGGACATATGTAAATTAGTTGATTCTTATGACATCACAGAAACAGTGAACTAAAAACGAACCATGCAGTGTACTGTGCATATATGGACTGTTTGAACTTTAACACTTCAAACTCCTTTATTTAAAAAAAAAAAAAAAGAGGGAAATTCGGTTTTCCATGATATGGGGGCAGTTGTGGGCTGGAGGTTAGGGAACCAGCCCTGTGACCGTAAGGCCAGTTCGGTCCCCTGAGCCGACAGTATGTGACTGAAGTGCCCTTGAGCAAGGCACCTAACCCCCAACTGCTCCCCGGGTGCCATGGATAGGGCTGCCCACCAGTTCACTAGTGTGTACGTGGTGTTTCACTGCACGGATGGGTTAAACGCGGAGGTGAAATTTCCCCACTGTGGCACTAGTAGGGGTCACTTAATCCAATATGGGCCCTTTAATCAAGTTTTTTTTAGTCATGCTGTGAATGAAAAACAGCAAGTTGCGACACTGACTTCACAGACACTTAAGTCTCATAGGTGAAACAACTTTGTTGCTTGTTTTTCAGTTGAAACTGTAAGAATGCATTAAAGTTATTAATTATATTTTTGACAAATCTGCCTAAAATACTGAAAGCTCCCAAAAAGACTCAGTTGTGTTACTCATGAACTATTAAGTGACTTTAAAACTGAAATAAAATAACATGAATGCAATATTTTCTAACATTAAATGTGATCCTGAAACTAAAGTGGCAATGGAGTATATTTTAGACAAGTTCAGATTTGTGTCATTTTGTCAGCAGTGTTACAGTCAGAGGTGTCACAAATGATGTTGCTCAATATAAAAGACTGTTTTACACTGTCATTTTTACTCTGTTTGCCACCACAATGGTAGAATGACCGATCAACGAGTGTGTCCATCAGGCTGTATTTACGACTGTAAAAGAGACCAGTAGAAATTAAATATGCATTAACATCCAGCAAACTGTCAACTAATCACTACTGATTCATCAACAATCAATGGCTGTATTTAAATCATGTACTTGAGTTTAATCAGGTAGTCATTTTCCCATCTAAAGGGGTCCTGAGATTCTTTAAAGCCTGCACAGCAATGCCTACATATAATCATACATCACATGTCCATGACCACTGGGTCAACACATACTTCAAATCCTTTCACGCTAAACCACAGAAATAAGATTACGAGTCAAAGTCCTGCGAGGCCCAACATAATTTCACCGTGTTCTTGAGCAGCGTTTCCCAATCCAGCCCTTGGGGACCCCAAATATAGTTTGCTACATCTCAGCTCCCAACTGTAGCAGGTATTTGGCTGGTGGGTTAGGAGGGCTGGACTGAGGAACACTTCTTTTGAGTAACACATGGATCCAGGCTAAGATGACCTAAACACTCCATGTTAGTGTGCCATGAGGTTGTTTGTGTAAGCTTTTAAAAAAGGCTTCAACTTGACATCAAAAAGAGCTTAAAATCCCAAACCACGACTCTAACCTTGATCCTACTGCCTGGTTTGTGCTAACTGCCTTGCCTAAACTGCGGAATCCCAAAGATATGAACCACAGAGCTTTTTTGTATGTGGGTATAAGTATGACGACTAGTGCCTGACCGATTTTTATTGTTTGGCCTGAAAGGTTCCACAAATTTATTGTTATTGGTGAAAATGCTGCCAACAAACAATATTTTACCGCCCATCCCATAGAGTTTATATTATTTAAGATTTCATGAGTTGATGTCATTTATTTTAAAAACTGACAGTATAGAAATTACAATACAAAATGACTAAATATGATAATACTATGAGGAATCAACTGTCAACCCTATCAATCAGAAAAGCACTATTTAGCTATAGCTATTGTAGTCTGTTTAATTTTTGAGCATACAGTACTATTGTACGTTCATTTATTTAATTTCCAGTCAAAACAGCCACTAAGTACATTAAGTTTTTCACTAGCCACGTTTACATGCAACCTAATAGTCCATTAATAATCCGATTAACAGCTGAATTGGAATAGAATATGTCCACATAAACACCTCAATCGGAATAGTCTAGTCCGATTAAGGTCATTTGGAATACACTTTCCGATTGAACGAGGTGGGTAATCCTGTAAATAATCTGTTAAATAGAAGAATAATAACCATGTAAATGTCTGTATCTGATTACATTCCCAATCGGAAAGTTTAAGTACGTTCTGATCATGTGCGTCACGTCATAGTGAGAGTTTATACCGTTCAACATGGCGGAGCAGAAACTGGTCTGCAGAGGACCAGTTTATGTTTATGCTCTGATCTTTAAAAGACGGCGGTGGGACGGACGTCCAGCTTATGTGTCTCAGAACACGACGTCTTCCTCTCGGCCTTCTTTAATAAGGACATCTGAAGTACGTTTTCCTGAGTCTGACATCATTTTAAAGCGATTATAAACACAAGCACTGCTCACTGCTGCTCATCTCACTCTGACTGGACTCACGTGATGCTCGTTGTCATGGTAACGTGGTCCTCTACGCATGCACGTCATTTTGGATCGCATTACTTGTAGTGTGCATGTAAATGAAGATTTTCCATCAGATTGTTGAGTAGAGTGAGCAAATAAACAACTCAGTCTGAATCTATAATCAGAATGTATTCAATCAGTGCATGTAAACACAGCCAGTGTCAGTAAAAAGCTGAAAAAATATATTTAACCGAAAATTACAAAGAAGCCTCAACAACTAAACAGAATAACTTATTTTTCAGTATTTAGTGTTTCTACTTTTTTTTCCACTTCTATTCTTTTCAGGAGACTCACTTTCAGTTTCTCAAAGAAACCTGCACGGATATTTTTCCACACCTCCAAAGTTCAGTCTTAGAAGTTGGCTGTATTTTCTGCTTTTCGTGATCCAAATTTATCCAAGAAGACTGACACTTTGAACACCTCTCCTGCTGGGGAGGCCTGTCTCAGCACTGATTTATGGAATTCAGTTCACGTGGCCTTTACTGACCCTCAGACACAACACCACAGCCTCCAGAGTGGGTCAGCCAGCATGGCTTCCTCTTACACAACCGAAGTTTCCATCTACTATCGCACTAATTAAGAGACTATACATAGAAAAACAGTCCAACACACGAACACAACCCACACAAAAACACACAAAACCACACACACACTTTACAGTGGTGGCATTAGACAGGCTTAAGAAGACTCAATCCATCACAGGAGATCCAATGAACTACAAATAACAACGTAATCTGTCACAATTCCTTGTTTTAATCAAACACCTGCATAATCTCAATCCCACATGTGGACACAGGAAAGAGAAAGTTAAAGTAATCGAATTCAGCCTGTGGGGCTTAGTTGATTCAGATTCATATACATTCTATGAACTTATTTAATCTTATATAAAGTTATAGAAATATTATTAAAACTTTGACATTAAAAGCACATATCATGGAAAGGTTTCCTTGTTTTGTTCAAGTTTAAATGTGCCGTTCACCCTCCAGTCCATACGATCCACATATGAAAACTTAGCTGCAAACACAGCTCATTTTGAATTCATTGTTTTGTGATGCCACAAAACCCAACACATTTACATAAATCCACCTATTCAGCATACAGCAGTTTGGCTCAACCCACTTGTTATACTTTCAGCGCAAGTGTTTCAGCTCAGACCGGTTTTTGAATAAGACACAATACAGGGTAGCCAATGACAACAGTCATTTACATATATCAGTCTTAAATTCACAGTAACAAAAACAGAGAATTCTCATATAAAAATATAAAGTATAAAATATAAATATCTCTGGTGCATAAAGTGACACAAATGTTATAAAAGCATCTTGTTCCTAAAAATGCAAGAAAAATGTAGGATGTATGGGCGCTTTAACTTTGGAAAAAAACTGTGAACATGTATATGTGGTGAGAGTGTGTGTGTGTGTATGAATGTGTATGTCTGTGTGTCTGCCCTGTGATGGACTGGCAACCCGTCCAGGATGCTTCCTGCCTTCTGCCCCATGAGTGCTGGGATAGGATCCAGCATCCCCCACGACCCAGGAGGATAACTGGTTTAGAAAATATGTGTGTGTGTGTGTGTGTGTGTGTGTGTGTGTGTGTGTATGTATGTGTTAGGTGAGACAGGGCACGTTAGGAATTTCAGGTGAATTCACCAAGCGTAAAATACTGCTAATCTAAACTTACTTGTAAATGTAAATTAAGTCAGTTGTAAACTGTATCGCTGATACGCCCCTCAGTCTCTGGATGCATCATATCTATTTTAGTATTGTTCATAGCTCAGTTGTGCTGTTTTATAAGAGCACTGTAATTTTCTGAGCTGTACAGGTTCATACGGTATATAAAGCACATAACCACATAAAATATCGAAAATTAAATTGAATCTTGATATTGGAATATACTGGATATCGGAGTAGAAAGCCGTATCGAAGTACATGTATCGCCACACCTCTAGACAATACGCTTTAGCCCATATGCAAATCTGATATACGGCAATATTCAGACTTCAAATATATGACATATATTAGCATATATATGGATTTCTCCCATGTCCAACTTATCTTAGTCCCATATGGACATATATGAGCCATTTTCAAATAGGGGGACATGCAATTCAGTTAAAAATCAGTTTTTTGACATAATTTGAAAATGCTTGTTGTCCCTTACATTATGGGTGAAGTTCATGATGAATGGACCAAAACAAATGGCCTAAAATTACTCTTAGAAGCATCTGGTTCCATTGACTTACATCATAAGTAGAGTAGGTTGTTTCCTTCTCCTGAAAAGTTCTCATTTTGGAGATACAAGGTTTTGTTCTGACAGCAGTGATATACAAACACATCTGTAACATATATATATATATATATATATATATACACACACACATACACACACACATATATATATATATATATATATATATATATATATATATATGATACTGCTGTTCTCAGAAGAAACCCTCGTATCTCCAAAATGGTAACTTTACAGGAGAAGGAAAAAACCTACTTTACTTTTAATGTAAGTCAATGGAACCAGACTTTTTTCCAAGTTGTTTTGGGCCGGTAGTGCTGTCGCTTCACAGCAAGAAGGGCCTGGGTTGGATTCCCTGGCTAGGCGACCAGGTGTCTGCATGTTCTCCCCGTGTCTGCATGGGTTTCCTCCGGGTTCTCTGGTTTCCTCCCACAGTCCAAAGAGAATGCAGTCAGGCCAACTGGACATGCTAAATTGCCCCTAGGTGCGAGTGTGGGTGTGGGTGTGAATGTATACGTCTGACTGTCTGTCTGCCCTGCGATGGACTGCTGACCTGTCCAGGGTGTCCCCAATGACTGCTGGGATAGGCTCCAGCTCCCCCCCATGACCCAGAAGGATAAGCAGCTTAGAAGGTGTGTGTATGCGTGTAATCCATATACCATGCACATATGTCCAATATTTGATACTCAAATATTTGTAAATAACATATTTACATATATTTTGAAATACTTGCCTGACCCTTTATGATACATCTGCATATATGGCCATATATCATATTTTCGTATGGGAGCTTCTGCAACTTAAAACTGAAATATAACAATAACAGGGGGTTTCCATACAACTCTAACTAACTCTTGCAGCTGTGTGACTTTAATTGTAATATTACAGAATCCCACATTCAGTTTTCCATGCGCCCATCAGACAGCAGCTCTATCAGCTCTGAGTCCTGACCGACTGAATGAACAGCTGAATCAAATCCGAGTAGTAATAAATTAAGTGATCATAAGGCAGCTTTAAAAGTGTGTCTTCATGCCACTCCTAACATGTTTAAGAGTCAGAGTGAAGGGAAGTTTCTTAGCCAGCTTCTTAATCGCCCGCTGCTTGTCCGAATTTGTCCGTTCCACCTTAAACGGTGCAGCAGTTACGCGAACAGGAAACCGCCTTCAGCTTCGTGTGTAAAACAGCGCTGTTTGTGCCTTTACCGTTCTCGCTGTCCACATACAGACTGTGACACTCCCTCAGGATCCGCTCGCTCGGTGTGGTTAAGGCTGTGTCCAGAGCGTTGGCCACCGAGCGGCCCTTCCTGCCGCCCGACATATTGAAAGTAACCAATCCTACTGACCGCACTTTGAAAGGAAAACATGGGGGACCATTTTCAGTGCTGCACCAAGACTCAGACCCAGACCAACGTGTGTGTCTGTGTGTGTGCTGCCCCCCAGTGGCCATAACTGGAAAGTACAGCTTATCAAGGTATCAGTTTTATTCACAGTTCTGCTGCTGGAGTTTTCATGCACTGCCTATGATACTAACTGATCTGCTCGAAGCACCGTTTCGTGTGAATGTCTGTCTATTAAATACATTCAGTTCTTTTTCTCAATAACTTTAGTCTTAATGTAAAAAAAACTAAGTAATAAAATTAATTGACTTGATTTAATTAGGAAATCGATCAGTTATAAATAGCTTTGAATGATCCAATACCTCGGTTATGTTTATTTTATTATTTTTTTAATCAATATCGTTATTTGATTTTCAAGATGATGGAAGAAATTAGAGCAATGGTCATAAAGACAGTTTACAACTTAACAACAGCACGCATCAAGACAAAACAAAACCAAAAACAAACAAACAACTACAAAAAAAAAAAGGGTGATGTTTATTTTATTTAAATAAATGACTGAACATTCCATTTTACCACTACCAAAACAATCATAACACTACCGAAACTTTACTAAATGTTTCAGTAGTGAGAGTTTCGGTGGTGACAGTTTTAGCTTGAGCAGAACTCAAAAATGCCAGCCAGTACAGGACCAGCAAACACAGCTCTGAACAGTTAAACACACATAAAATCAACATTTTTTTTTTCATTAGAACAAAAATTTGATTAACTGCAGAAAATATAATTCTACAAACTGATTTTCAGGCTTTGGGACTCATTTATTTCAAAAGAAACTTACCAAACTCACCAAACTTAATTTCTAAATTATTAATATACTAATTAATTATTTAAGTGAATTTTTTTAAATAAAAAAATTCAAAAAATGCTGTCCTACTTTTTCGTGTCACTACCGAAATACAAAGTCTTACTCTATAGGCGGAGCCTTATTTTAGCCCCACCATTGCATTTCAGGGCAGTGAGACTGTATCCCTGTCCCTCATGGCCACATGGGGAGCAGTTAGATCCCATTGTTTTGGCGTAAATGTGTCCTAAAGACTGAAAATCAATATGTAACATTCAGAACTGTCAATACAAAAACACATATTTTCTGCAATTAAGCAAACTTTTTTGTTTTTTAATAAAAACTATGATGGTTTTATGTGTGTATAACTGTTCAGAGCTGTGTTTGCTAGGCAGGCACTGGCTAGCGTTCTTGAGTTCTGCTCAAAATGAGCTGAAATTGTCACCACCGAAACAGTCACTACTGAAACATATGGTAAAGTTTTGATACTGTTATGATTGTTTTGATAGTGACAAAATGGAATGATTAGTCATTTACTTTAATTAATAAACATTAGGGCACAATGGTCATTCAGTACAAAAGGATTTTAGTCTAAAGTCCAAGTCAGTTAAAGGTCTGAAATGTGTTTTCAACTCTGAATTTGGCAATGACCCATACAGTACATTCCCTATAGTGAAGGAATTGGTTTAATCGGCTATTAGTAAATTAAAAGATCTTCACTCTGATCAGCACAAACAAAGAAGAGCGTAAAATGTCTTTACAACAGCTTAATGTACATCAGTGCTTTTAAACTCTATTCAAATTCACAAAACAGTTGTGAGTTGTAATGAGTTGGATGGAGGTCCAGTGACCGGTAGAGTTTGTCTGTGTTAAACAAACATTTAATGCTCTCTTTTGGGAGAAAAAAAGACAAAACTAAAGAAAAAAAAAACATGTTTGGGGTCCATATAATTGGCTGTCGGACTACATCGGCCATCTGGGGCAAGTGCAAATTTGTGTGTAACAAACTATTCATTTAAATTAAAGAAATTCAACAGTTAAAGTTTCACTTTGTAAGCTTTGGGGATTTGGAGACCCCTCTGGTGGGAATGTGTAATTGCATGCAATGTGTGAAAGAGCACTTTGTAACATGGGTTGTGTTTCAGACCCTTCTCTGAGTGGATGAGTCTGATGATTACATTGAAAGAGAAATCAAAGAGAACTCAAAACTTGGTAAAGGATGTGTTGATGGTGGCGTTAGTGTGTGTTGCGCTGGTGCGAGTGGATCAGACACAGCAGTGCTGCTGGAGTTTTTAAACACCTCAGTGTCACTGCTGGACTGAGAATAGTCCACCAACCAAAAATATCCAGCCAACAGCATCCTGTGGGCAGTGTCCTGTGATCAATAATGAAGGACTAGAGGATGACCAACACAAACTGTGCAGCAGCAGATGAGCTATCGTCTCTCACTTTACATCTACAAGGTGGACTGACAAGGTAGGAGTGTCTAATAGAGTGGACAGTGAGTGGACACAGTGTTTAAAAACCAGCAAAACTGCGGTGTCTGATCCACTCATACCAGCACAACACACACTAACACACCACCACCATGTCAGTGTTACTGCAGTGTTGAGAATGATCCACCACCCAAACAGTACCTGTTCTGTGAGGGTCTATGGGGGTCCTGACCACTGAAGAACAGGGTAAAAGGGGGCTAACAAAGTATACAGAGAAACAGATGGACTACAGTCTGTAACTGTAGAACTACAAAGTTCACCTATATAGTAAGTGGAGCTGATTAAATGGACAACAAATGTAGGTACAAGGTAGGTGTACCTAATAAAGTGCTCAGCGAGTGTATGTTGTCCTGTACCTTTAAGACAGGTAAGGGTGTGGCCCGATCGTCCCTAATCTATGTTTCCGGGAGAGAGAGAAAGCAAGAGTGAGAGAGAGAGCGAGAGAGAGAGAGAGAGAGAGAGAGAGAGAGAAAACAGGTGTGTGTAAAGAGTAAACAGGTTGAAGGGGGATATAGGCGAATTTACCGAATTCACAAGCTGACAGAATCGCTGGGTTTTAGACTTACAGGCCGCGCGCGCCATTCATTACTTTTAAACTTGTGGATTTCGATCGATCATGTCTTCATCGCGGTTATGACTGCTTCATGACTCGATATGACCGCTCTAAGTCCTTAACGACTGTTTCTGCCCGAGAGCGATTTCGTCTGTGGTTCAGATTCTCTTCCACGATGATGTCCGTGTTCGGACTCCTGTTTCTCCACTTCTGCCTTTCACACCACGCAGGTAAGCGCGGTCAGTCACCATAATGACCATCCTTCAGTCTTATACATCAAGCTTTCTGAGTGGTTCTTGGCTTTGACGTGCAGTACGGGGAGAACCTCTGCGCATTATGTGGAGGTTCTGTTAAACCTGAGCGTCTAGTTTACAAGCATGGTTCTGTGGAGAGACATCTAGTGAAGGGGTTCATCTAACCTGACTTATATTTATGTTGTTTTTAGTAAGGATGTACGATTATATCGTACTCATATCGGCAGATATTTGCTTAAACATCGTTATCAGGGTCTGACAGATGTTTAGATTTGACAGATATTTCCAATACAAACTTTTATTTTTCACTTTCTACATTTCACTGGATTTGTAACCCTACTGAAACATAACTTCACAGTCGGGGTCAAACCTCCCATCTCTGTTTTTGTTGTTTTTAATTTTTTGACAAATATAAAATCTCCAGCTGCCCTTTTACGTTGTGTAACATTTCATGATGAACAGAGCAATAGAAATGGTCTACAGTCACTTGGAATAAATCATTTTTCCATTATTTTTTATTAAAAGTTAATGATATTTTTTCCTTCTCCTCTATTATAATTTTGGAGATACAATTCTTATATACTATATAAACGCATTATATATATATATATATATATATATATATATATATATATATATATGTTTATTAATAATTAATAATAATTGTACTGCCTGATAGTTTTTATGTATGTGTATATGTATATGTATGTGACGCTGCTGTCAGAAGGAAACCTTGTGTCTCCATTTTTGTTGTTTTTCAGTTTTTGACATCATTTGAAAATACATGTTGCTCTTTACATTGTCTGTGAATTTCATGATGAATGGACCAAGAGAAACAGCCCAAAATTACTTGGAAAAAATTCTGGTTCCATTGACTTACATTAATAATAAAGTAGGTTTTTTCATTTAGGAGATACAAGGTTTTGTTCCGACAGCAGCGATATGTATATGTATATTGGTATTGGTATTGACAGATGCATTCATGAAAAGTATTGGATATTGCACTGATCCATAATTTCCACATCTGTGTCTCCCTAATTTTTAAGAGTTCATCGACTAGATTGGGAATTAGGACTTGTCTAATCTCAAGCCTTGACCAAGTCCTGACTTTCCCCTTTTTCAAACTCTTTTTTACAGCTGCAGCTGCAGAAGAGCAAGAGCGGTCGCTCATCATAATCGGAGAGAAAGGAACAAACGTCCTGTTGCCATGTTTCGGACGCCCAGCCAACAGCACCCTGCTTGTAACTCGCTGGAAAAAGAGCGGGCAGATTGCGGTCACCCGGGACAGTGCTCACCCGCTCAGCACGGCCCATTTATCCATACAGGATGACGGCAGCTTGAAGATCACTGGTCTAATGTTCATAGATGAGGATGAGTATGAGTGCGACCCCGTGCCGAAAAATGACAGCTTATCTCAGAAGATTCTTCTACAGGTTGCTGGTACGTTTCCATAGTTCTGTGCTGTCACTGTCAGCCCTCTGTCTTGTGTTCAGGAGAGGAAAAACAGGCTTAACATTAATGTAATGGTAGTTTATTTCAGGGGCCGTTTTTATTGGTCCGTTCATTTCCAAAGGACACAGTAAACACTGAAAAAAAGTTTTGATAAGGCGGCAACATTGATGCTATTACGCAATCGAGAATTGAGTATTTGTAGCATATGCAAAGTTGTCTGCGCTGGTTTCTGTAAAAGTGAGGAATCGTAAGCCAAACAGGTTCTGCGGGTTTAACCGCTTGTGTATTTAGTGACCCAGAGCTGTGTGACTGAAACTAGTCCTGTTCTCAGGGCACTGACAACATTACTGAAACTCTTCTTTTTCCCTCTCTACTTGTTGGAATTTAGAATTGATCTATTCGTGCTCCACCCACAAATGCAGTCCTTCATAGCGACTGTTGCAAGTTTGGGCAAGCTTCACAGTACAAAAGTACATTCAAGCTAATAAAAAACTGTTGCGTTCTTGTCAAAATATGGACGTTTAGAGTGTGTTACTAGTTTCAGATGATTTATTTTGTATGAATGTGAAAGGTCACACTGTCAGGATAGGTAAGGTTAGGGATATAAAATAAAAAATGTAATAAAAATGTAATGTCATGGTAATTACCTACCTTTTTAGCACAGCTCATGGAATATAATCATGATACTGTATTAAGAAAAACACCCCGAATGACCTGCTTTGTTTCTACAGAGAACACACTTAAATACTAAATAATTTTAGTGCTCGACTTCTATTTGTTTGCTTATCGGCCGATATTACTAACACAGTGGGTCGCTAATTACATTGGCAAACTGATATAGTGATCAGATCCTCTGTGTAATTGTGAGCAAGTTTAGGTGGTTGGCCATTGTGGACTGAACAGATAGGTTTTCATATCAGATGAAAAGGAAGCTGCTCCTTTAGAGAAGCTAATAAGCTAACACTAGTGCTAACTGGTGCAGCATTAGATTAGAGTTTAACTTGCTGGAAAAAAGAAAACATAAAATCTAAAAATGGATTTGTTTTATTTTGTTCCGATGTGTGAAATTCAGCAAATAAACAACAGTTGTGCATTAAATTTGTCTCTATAAAAAATGTGTTAACTTATTTTCACTTAGAACATCTTTTAGAACGTCTTTTGCCCAGAAGCGCCCAAACTTTTGCACACGATTGTACATGTATAAGATACATAATGAGTTCACCACACAAGGGTTAAACCAGAGCTGCTCGGCGTATCTAAAACTCCTCTGGTGAAACTGCAGCGTTTAACTAAAACGCAGCGACAGTATTTCAAAGCGTCCATGGTGCCAGTACTGTATGTGTTGAATATCACAGTATACCTTATTATTGAATATCAGCACATCTTGGTCAGGTGTAGTTTTTGCCTTCAGGCTAACATCAGCAGGGTGGCAAATGCGTTATTGTTTCCAGTCTGCTTGGTTTCATTTAGCTACAACAGCACAGTGCAGCTTGGTAGTGTTGCATTTTAGACTCAACGTCATGCAGCAAATCTAGACTCCAAGCTAAACTCTGAATGAGTCTACTGAACTTTTTCCTACTTTCTGCAAAACGTGTCCAACCTTACAACAAAAAGGCACATTTGTGTGCACAGCATGGATAGGTTCATTGTAAAGATGTTAAATAGAATCAGCTGTCACCTTGACTTGAAAATCAAGCCACACTTTCCTTCCTTTTTATTCTCTATTGCAAGAAGCAGAGCTGTGTTTTAGTATCCAGTTTATTTTTTAATATTGCTTAAGTGCTAGCAGTGACCTGTTGTGAATAATCTTTAGTCGGCTAAGTGTGAGTGAGCAAGTTTGTGAGTTAAGTAGATAAAAGTTAGTTACTTAGTTACTTACAAGCCAGGTCCATCTGGTGCTTCTGTCTGGTGCTGCTAACAATCTAATGATGTTGAAGCGTAGGGCTGCACAATACAGTTGTATGCAAATGTTTGGAAACCCCCAGTCACATGACCTATTTTGTTAATTTCAAAGTGAAAATAATTTAAAACATTCTCTAAAAAGAACACACTTCTGCACATTTTAATGCACACGTACTGTTTATTTGCTGAATTTAACATATTGGGGGAAAAAAATATTTTGCATAGGTAGCTAGGTATGTAGATAGGTAGGTAGATAGGTAGGTAGATAGGTAGATAGATAGGTAGGTAGGTAGGTAGGTAGGTAGATAGGTAGGTAGGTAGGTAGGTAGATAGGTAGGTAGATAGGTAGGTAGGTAGGTAGATAGGTAGGTAGGTAGGTAGGTATATAGATAGATAGATAGATAGATAGATAGATAGATAGATAGATAGGTAGATCACTTTATTAGTCCCAGAGGGAAAGTCTTCTATTACAGCAGCACAAAGTACAGTAAAGAGCAAAACAGGAGCAAAAGTATTGCCATATGCTATTTACAGATACATAAATAGAAGGAGTAAAGATAAATAATAAAATATACGAAAACAACACTAAAAATATAATGTGCAGTAGAAAAATAAGTAGTAAAATATGTACTATACATATGTACTATGCAGTTGACAATGCTGTGGTGCATGCCCCCTCCAGTGAATAAACAAATGGCAGTGCATAGTAAGATGAGTAGAGAGATATAATGTAATGTCCAGCTGGTGCCCACTGAGCATATGACTGTATATCATTTGTTAACTGTAATTACGGTATTGGCCTTTGCAATACTGATTCCACAGCCATGCAAGTGAGCACTCTGAGCAATTCGTTCTAGATGAGCCTTTCTGTGGTTCTTTAGATGTGGTGTCCTTGTGGCCCAACAAAAGTTAACTATTGTCAAAATCATGTAGGACAATATTATTATGTGTTGATTCAGAAAAATGTGTTTAATATATTGCAAATTAGAGCACAATCACAATATTTAGCAGTGTAATTGCATTGGTAGTATTTTGTCTATATCATGCAGCCCTATACTCCTAGCAAAAGGGGTTCCATGTAGTACCAATAAAGATTATACTACTTGTAACAACCCTTTTTGGTGCTACATTGATCCAGTTTTAAAAGGTTCTTTAACCTTAATAGTTCTCTGTACTGGTACTGGCACACTTCTGTTAAAGCATTTACTTCTGTTTTTTTATACATCATTTTTATGCTTCTAATCATCCAGCAATATGGTGCAATATATGATGCAATGTACTGTTAGAAAGCTTGAAATCTCAGGATTCAATTCCTCCAAACCATTTTACGATCCATTATTCACAACAGTAACAGTAGTGTCATTTGCAACATAAGCATTGAGCAAACGCTAACAAATCTGTGGGTTCTTACCTTCAAAGCCTCGCCGCTCTCCAAAGAGACCTCATAATCCAAAACATGTAGTCTTGATAACACAACAGAGTCAGAGATCAGTTTAGAGATCTATGAGTCAGGCAGAAATAAACTTACAGCTTGTGTCTGTAATACAATTATTCTGACGATTTGGAAAAAAAACGTGAGAGTGTTGCCTTTCAAATCAGACCAAGATCATGACTGTAGCCCAAAGTATGTGTACAACAGCTTTTCAGTCTTAGGCTTTTCCATCCAAAGAATTTTTTGTGAAAAAAAAAAAACTGCTTTAAAAAGTATGGAAATGTAGGCTATGGAAAGGGGATTTGTTTGTAGTGCTTTTTTTGTCCAATTAAGCAAATTAGTTGTTTGCCTGAAATGCTACAGCGGAAACGTTTTTTTTCTGGTAGAGCACCAACAGCATGTATGTATGTATGTAAAATAAACAAAACGTCCTTATCAGTAGGTTATGGGGAAGCCGAGGATGTCAGGGAAGTCAAAAGTACACAGGTTGTGACATGCATGAACTTAGAGATGGAAACGTCAAATTTAGCTGTTTTATAGATAAACCAAAACTTAGATGACAACTGTTTTTTGCAGGAAATGATGTCACTACATAAAACACTTTTAATCCCAAACAGTTTGTTGGAAACAAGCTTTTTTTAAACATTTTTATTTTCTTGCTTGCAAGTTGCAAAGGAAGATGACGGAACCATAGCTATTGAGAAGAGACATTTAACCATGCAAAGAACCAATTATGCGTTCATATGGTTCTTTGGGTTCTCACTGTTCTACACTTTACTAAAGAACCCTTGATGAACCACTTTTTTTAAGGATGTATTGAAGCATGTATGGCTTAAGATGTCTTACCTGAGTGCTTTTCGCTGAATGCTGTTTATTTATTGTTTCAGATGGTCCAACCAACATGGCAATAAAAATAGAACCAGCAACTGCCCTATTAAACGGGACACTGTTTGTCCAAAAAGGCACCAACATTTCCTTTAACTGCTCCAGCGAGTCGCACCCCTCACAGAACCTTACGTGGTTTTTTGAAGATGTCAGGAGGGCATCTGATACCGTTTCATCGCTGAACTTTGAGACAAGCAACGTTAATCCAGCTGATCAGGGAACCTACACCTGCAAAGCCCAGAACCTCCTCTCCAACAAGACTGTGACGCGGAGCCAGGAACTGCTGGTCTACTGTATGTTGTACACAGACATTTAATCTTTAGTTGTACATAATTACTAAAATGTGATTTATTGAGATAGTGGTCCATTAAGAAGGGCACAGTTTTCACTCTCTGTTTATCCCAGGCTTACCATACATTACCATTTAGCAGCAAGTATCTAAGCTAAAAAAGATATGTCTAAAAATGTGTCCTGGAATAAGTGCATTCCTAAATAAGTTATGTTAAAAGGCTAGGGTTCCAAAAAATAAAGCAACCAAATCACAAAAATAAACATTTAATTGCAGCCAAACTAAAAGCACTATGTGTGTAATGCATAATACTGAATAATATTACTTATCATTGGCTTTCAAATCATATATCAGTATATAGCTATTTGTCATTTGTCATATATCAATGTATATTTGCTCTTTGCCATACATGATATACTTTCAGTATGTCTCTTTTAAATGTTTCTGTAATGTATTTACTCGATCAAAATCAAAAGGTTATTCCCTCCTTAATAGATTGCAACATTCAGAGCTGAACTGAATGGAACATTCAGAGTTGAATGTTGGTCAAGAGGGCAATCATGTTATGTTACATTGTGAGGGATCCACTTACTGACCCATAAGCTAAAGGGGAAAAACAGATAAAAAAACCAAATAAATAAATAAATAAAAATGGGTTCAACTGCTCCCCGGGCGCCGTGGATAGGGCTGCCCACCGCTCCAGGCAAGTGTGCTCACTGCCCCCTAGTGTGTGTGTGTTCACTAGTGTGTATGTGGTGTTTCACTGCACAGATGGGTTAAATGCGGAGGTCTAATTCCAATGTATTCAGACACAGTTGGCTAAAAGGTTCATTTAATTTCATTTCATTTCATTCATGTGGGTTATTGTGGAGAATGTCCCGATTTCTTTGCAGTGGTGGTGATAAGAACCAAGGGGTTGTGATGTTTACAAAACAAACATAGCCAATTTATTTAAAATCCAGTGATTCTACACGTGTCTGCTGAGTTTTTATATAGTTTTCTTTATTTTAGACAATTTAGCCTCACAACACCCTGCATGTATCACTCTGCCACGAATGGCTTTAAAAAACAGGTTTTAGGCCAAAATCTTATCTCAGAACTTTCATAAAACAATGTCTTTGGCATCAGGCAGTATATTTATAACCATTTCATGTAAGAACTTTCTTTTAGACAGCTAGGTTAGGTTCCCACTGTGAACCACCACTGTGAGCAATTCAGACTTGGAGTTTCTCCAGAACAGAGCAGTTACAAAACAAATATAGCCAAACCACCAAACCACTCTGAATGACTTTATTTACATCGTAACGATTTAATTATACAAAAATTTTAAAACACTGCTGGAATTCCCCTTTAACACTGAACCAACCCACCCCATCTTCCCATACAGTTACATTCTACACATGTGGTTCCATAACAGGCCAGTGCTACAGATGTCCAGCGAGACCATGAGGTAGTTATAATTTTATGGACTTTATGGATCTTGAGATCATGACTTATTTTTCTTGTGATCTCAAGATAACAAATGTTGTTTTCTCGGTATCACTACTGTTTTGTGATCTCAAGATAATAAATATTGCTTTCCCTGGATAACTTGATAATCTTGAGACCACGAAAAAAAAATAAGTTGTGATATCAAGAAATTTTGTGTGATCACAAGACAAATAAGTCATGATCTCAAAATAACAGTCCATAAAATTATAACCTCTTACTGGCCTCTCTGGACTTCTGTACGGCACCGTCCATGTCACATTTGTTATTCTTTTCCCACTTAGATCAGCGGTCAGTGATTAGTCCAGATGTGGTCGATCAACAGGGTGTACTTGGTGTCTGACATTTGCTTCTTTCGTTGTGAGATATGAAGCTAAAGTAGCTAACCAGCTAACAAGTAATACACACTTATTTCTCAACAGTTATCGCAGTACAAACAGCATGCATAAATCATCACGTCTCTCAAACCATATGGAGTTGTTAAGTGATCTCAAATGGACTTGCTTATGTGGTTTCTGACACTATTATCTTTAAAATACACAAAATTACAGACAAAATTCAGGCTTGGCTGCTGCCAATGACAGCAACTACTGAGTTTATTGGTGGTTTTACAGATTCAGATGTAGCCATACTTTTGTTTATATAGTAAGAAGTTGGTGAAAAGTGTGATCATTTAGGGCAAATTACTTGTTAGCTACATTAGCCTTGCAGCTCCACTGCAAAACTAAAGAAGAAAATCTCAGATACCAGTCGACTTGGTTGATCAGGTACATGTGGGGAAAGGGGGAAATCATGTAACTCTGTAGTCACTGCAGAACTATGATGTGCACTCACCTTAATCACTTCTCATTCGTATAAACATCTCTTTCTGCAGATGCTTCAGAGAGACACCCGATTTGCAACTGGGAGCAGGCCATTCAGCCTGACTTGGTGCACTTCAGCTGCTCCTGGTACGGGGGCTACCCTGTACCTAACCTACAGGTGTTTCTGGGTTCTGACACGGTGGCCTCAAATGTCTCAGAGAAATTAACAGTGACTCTGAACAGGACGATGCTGCATGATGACCAGAACATCATGTGTCTGGGACGATACAGTGAACTCCAGCCTGGACATGAAAAGTCATGCTCCTTCACAATCAGTAAGGCCTGTACTGATTTTATAGTCAAATACAGACACATGGACCTGTTTCTGTTGGAGATCGCTGCAATATAATAACATAGTAGTGTTATAATAATAAAACTATTTTTCTGGGCAGTATATGTTTACTTGCTCAGCAAAACACTAATATTAGAATAAAAACAAAGAACATTAAGACAGTAAGTAGTGATTTTATGCATGCCGGTGTGTTTGTTCAACCATTTCCAACCCTCTCGTTGTGGTAGCCCTGTATTAATGTAGTCACCATCCATTACCTGATTTGACTAATTAGTGCTGACAATGGAATTTATTAGATGCATGCAGTTGCTCAGCGCATCCAGGAGAAATCTGGAACCAAACTTTTGGTAACACTTTATTTGGAGTGGTTGTTTGTAGATGATTAATAAACTCTTAACAGATTATCAGTAACACATCAACAACATATCAGTGGAATAGCAGTAGTGAAGCATCTGAACACAGAGAAGTAAATATCTTGATGCTGTTCTGTTGATACATTACTTACATTAAGTAGATGTATTGTTAATATGTTACTTCCATTATTCAAAACCTAACCTTACCAACCTTACCAAAAACCTAACCCTGGCCCTAATCCTAATCCTAACCTTAAACTCAACCAAAAATCTAATCCCAACCCTCATATGTTTTTGACATGTTACTGGGAGTCTGTTGAGTGTTTGTTTAATCTAAAAGGATCAAAGGGGATTTAAACTACTTCATATCATATCTAACAACAAATTGTTAGATTTGTTACCTTGTGCTGTATTCATGTTTATTTACGTTTACTTTTATGGTGTTTTTACAAGTGCAAGCACATTTACTGCCAAAATAAATGGCTTGAAACAATATGATTAGGTGCCTAAAACTTTTGCACAGTATTGTAAACATTATTATGTAAAATGGCATTATTATTTAGGGGTGGGTGATATGAGAACATGATTTTGTTATTATGATAAGTTATGCTATGATCTTTCTTCTCAGAGCATATTGTGGATATTGTCAGTGCTTAAAAACACTGACCATCTATGTGTTTTATTAAGAAGAGATCAGTGAAATGTATTGTGGATCACGACCAATCACGTTTTCAACAAGATTTAGGCCAAGTATAGCACAGCCTGTAAACAACCAGTGTATGTTATTCGTTTATGTCATCTTATGCCGTCTTTTCATAAATAGAATTTATATGTTCAGTGGTGAGCGTTCCTTCTGCATGCCTTCTGCAATGCCTTCTGCATTATTGCCAGTAATGCCATTTCTTTTCTGTTTAAAGCATTGCCATCTGCATTATAACCTCAAGTTTTACATATGAACACACACTAACTTAGAAAATATAGTCCACTCACTGGCCACTTTATCAGAAACACTTACATTATAATACCCCTATGTAGGTGCACAATGACAGACTGTAGCCCATCAGTTGCTGTACACTTTGTCAGCCACTACCCCATTCGTCATTGCTGACCAGATATCATTTGGGTGGTGGATCATTCTCAGCACAGCAGTGACCCTGACACAGTAGTCTCACTGGCGATAATCAGCCAAGAGTGTCTCTGTGGTCAGAAACTGACCTCTGATGATGGGCTAGAGGATGAATAACACAAACTGTGCATAAACAGATGAACTAAAGTCTTTAACTGTACATCAGTAAGGTGGAGCTACAAGCGTTTCCAATAAAGAGGCCGGGAAATGGATTTCTGTGTATTATTTGTAACATGGTAGAACGTTTCTCATTTTTTGTGACCATGCTGCCCTGTAACCTGCTACCTTTTCCCTTACAAGTGTGAAATCCATGACCTTACAGTCTGTTCTGGTGTTGCAGACTCCCCATACCCGATGGGAACGCCACTGGTGGCTGCTCTGGAGGGCAGTAACGTCACTCTCTCCTGCTCTGAGTACAAATCTCTCCCTCCTGCTAAAACCGTGTGGCAGCGAGGAAAGAGTCAGGAGGTTATCGTCCCCAGCTCCAAATACATACTGACTGCCCAGGGCCCGGAGCTTACTCTGACCATAGTGAATGTGACGAAGGACGATGAAGGTGTTTTCTTCTGCTGGAGTGAAAATGTTCTGGCGGCGAAGGAGCTGGAAGTCTATCTTACTGTCAGATGTGAGTGAAGCTCTTTACTGTTTCTGGAAGCTTAAGCACAAAGACAGATAGACATTTTATTAATCGTGAAGGAAATTTCAGGGAAATCACATACAGTGGTATCAGGAGTGTCACTAGAGATTTATGGACGGGGGTCTAAGTCTTTACTAAGGGGTCTGGGGGCATGTTTCCCCAAAAGGATGTTTTAATGGTCCCAAAATATCTGTTCATCATGAACCTTTAGAGTAGCAATAGGTAAAACATGGCTGTTTGGTCAAGTTGGCACACAGAAGATGTTTTTTTTTATCATAGTGTATTAAGCACAGATCCTTTACAACTTAAATGCATATCTGTCCATTAACACACTCTCTTAGATAATCTGCAGGTCCTAAATATGTTATCCAAACGCACAGATTATAGATTGGCACAGGCTCAGTTTGTTAAACCAGGTAGAGAGTGATTTTGTTCTGTAGTTGTCTTTACATGTTTTATAGTCTATTATTCTTTATAGTGACATTTGACAGCACAAAAATGATATTTTCTCAATTATTTTATTTATTTAGTCTCACAAATGAGGATATCTTAAGAAAATATTTTAAATGAAAGCTTAACGCTCACTTGCTTTCTTCTTGATCACCAACTGACCTTCATCAGATGCTTCTTAGCTCTGCAAGTCTCTTTCAGCTTCTTTCTCTCTCCTCATTGGCTGTTTAGTAACATGTTATCATTGTTAATCTCAGATTTACAAGAACCTAAGAATCAGTATAGTCATTTTTTTGAACTGGCGGAAATCTTTTAACCTGATTGACCTTCTGCAGAGCTGACACCTTCTAACTACCATCTACAGTTTGAGGAATACAGGGATATAAAACTGCATTATGATTAACACAACATAAGCTGTATATAATAATAACAATATATAGCTAGTACTGCTGTGATTGTTTCGAAATACTTAATAGAAATATGAAAACCCCAGCAGCACTGCTGTGTCTGATCCACTCGTACCAGCGTAACACACACTAACACACCACCACCATGTCAGTGCTGAGAATGATCCACCACCCAAATAATGCCTGCTCTGTGAGGGTCCATGGGGGTCCTGACCACTGAAGAACAGGGTAAAAGGGGGCTAACAAAGTATGCAGAGAAACAGATGGACTACAGTCTGTAATTGTAGAACTACAAAGTGCACCTATATAGTAAGTGGAGCTGATAAAATGGACAATGAGCACAGAAACAAGGTGGTGGTCAGAATGTTATGGCTGATCGGTGTACATATGATAAAACTTAAAGCAGTCCGTAAAGTGGAATTCTTCAAAAATTCTTCAAAATTCAGTGGTTGAGATGTAAACAAAGTCATTTAGAGAGCTTCGATATGAGGTTTATTGCAGAGGTTGTTTACAGAGGTGGTGAAGGAACCAGCGGTCGTGATGTCTACAAAACTAAAGTGACTCAGGAGACCACCACAGAGCAGGTATTATCTGGGTGGTGGATCATTCTCAGCACTGCAGTAACACTGACGTGGTGGCATGTTAGTGTGTGTTGTGCTGGTATGAGTGGATCAGATACAGCAGTTTCGCTGGTTTTTATACACTGTGTCCACTCACTGTCCACTCTATTAGACACACGTGGTGGCATGCTAGTGTGTGTTGTGCTGGTACAAGTGGATCAGACACAGCAGTGCTGCTGGAGTTTTTAAATGCCTGAAAACAGTCCACCAACCAAAAATGTCCATCCAATAGTGTCCTGTGGGCAGCGCCCTGTGACCACTGATGAAGGACTAGAGCAGGGGTGTCAAACTCAACCACTAAAGGGGCCAATTTAAGAAATGTCAACAATTCTGTGGGCCAGAGATTTTTTTTTTTTCCATTTTTAATGAATGTTGTGCTGTAACCCAAACTGGCCATTATTTATTCAAAAAAACTCAAGAACTTCAGCAATGAATTATAGGCACTTGTAGTCGACCTTGAAATGCTACTTGAAATATTCAGTATTCAAGTATTTAATTGAAGTGTAACCGCTGTCCCGGAGATTGTTGTTGGGGTAGGAGAGTCGGAGCACACATTATGTTGCAATGCATGCTGGGGACTGTAGTACAGCACATTGTGAAATGGGTTAATAATAATAATGTAATAACGGGATAAGAGGGACATAGTTAGGAAAACAAATTAACCAAAGGCTCAACTAAACAGGTAAGTTTTTAGCCTAGACTTAAAGATGGAGGCTGTGTCTGAGTCCCGAACACAGACTGGTAGGCTATTCCAAAGCTGGGGGGCTTTGTATGAAAAGCCTCTTCCCCCTGACGTAACTTTATTTATTCTGGGTACTAATAATGAGCTAAGTGGACAAGTGGAGAGTGGACAGTGAATGGACATATATTCCTCTATTAGACTCTATTAGTGAATTTCAAGGGGAAAAATAAAATACAGGAAAGAACAGTTTTCCAGAATCATTATACCATTCACTTACAATTTACTTAAATGCCACTGCGTGTAAACAAGACTTCATATGCAGTTATAAGGAAAAAGGTCTATGTGGAACATGAATTACTCCTGGGAGTCCATATTGCCACCAATTTGGTGTACGGTCTTTTGAATTAAGTTCTCACATAATAAAGGGGTGTTAAACTGTTTTATTTCAGTAGATTCACCCACTGAAGCAATTTTATGTCTTGTCATGTACAGAATGCTGCTAAGCAACATGCTTTGGATTGTAAAAACTACAGTCAGACAACACCTACGTCACTGTTGGCAGCTCCTCAGACTGAATTCTTTGTGTGTTGATCATTCTGATATAAAAATGTTTATTTTCCAGCCTCTGCAGACAGCTCCGGGGCGGTGGTCGGAGTCTTTATCTCGGTTGTGATCGTAGTCGCTGGGATAACGCTGGGGTTCCTAGCGTACTCCCGTCGTGACAGGATATGTCTGAGTACGTGTCACTGTTTTATATCTGCTTTTACATCTGGCTTTAGCAGCAGCTTGAAACTAAGCTCAGGCTGTTTGTGGTTCAGAATAAGAGAAAATCTGTGAGCATTACAGTGAGACTGTTTTCATATGTTTTTAATCATATATATATACATACACATATATTTTTCAGCTTGATATTAAATCTTTTTCCCTCTTTTCCTCTATTTTTCTACAGGTTTTAGATTTAGGTAAGTACAAACACAAATATTATACAGTTATAAAGAAAACACAGGGATCAAAGAGCAAACATTTATAACAATACCACCACCACCACCACCAACAACAACAACAACAACAACAACAATATCAACAGCAGCAACAATAACAATAATCATTATTATATCAAATTATTTTTAATAATATCATGGTTAAAGTAACTAGTAAAAACTGATGAGACTTATACCAATACTAATAATTTTAATTGTTACTTGTATTATCACAATTATTATTATTTTATATATTATTATTAATATATTACATATGTAATTATATGTCGGTAATATATTCTAATAATGATAATATAATAAGGTAGTAATAGTAGTTTATTATTATTATTATTATTAAATATTATTAATCATTATTAACAAATTATCATTGATACTATTATTATAAAGTGCAATGTTGTTTTCAGTGGTTTAGAGGACGACAGGACGGATGTGATGAGCCTGGTTGAGTCGGATGAGGACGATGTTTTCCACAACACTGTTCCGAGACTCCCTCCCGTTTCTAACGGACACGGTCCCACTCGCACCACTACACTCGTAGAGATCCACAGGATACAGTCCAGTGAGTGACCGTTTAACTGTTTCCTAAAACATTTCGGATTCACTAACAGTGTGAGATGCTGCTGTTTAATCAAACCTTACAAACAATCAAACCTTTATTCATAAACCGCTTTTTTAATGCAAACATTGTAAGGTGTTGTACAGACTGACACAGTTCAGATGAATAAAAATAAGAACAAATAACGACAAAGTAAGAAATCAAAAAAGTCAGAAGGAAAAGCAGTTAGAACAAACACAATGAAAACAGAATTAAGATTGAATTAAAATGGAAAAACGATACTTCTTTTTTTAATAATCAGACTGGTTCACTGGCTGCCAAGGCGCACACCTGAATCCAGGAGCACTGTTTGCTTTTGATATGAAAGTAAATACAGTTCAACAGATATGAATGAGGTAGGTCAGTATCTTAAAGTTAGACTGAACTTAGGGCTATAAAAGTTTCTTATGACATGAATTAGTTGCAAAATTACTTTAAAATTACTATTACAGTGAGGATTTCCCATGTTTTATTTTTGATTAAAACAGTCTACTTTGATTGATTGATTACTGAATGCACAGTGTATGATTATATCAGAATCATATCAGTATTGGCAGATTATTGCTTAAAAGACGTGAAGCACCATCATTAGACAGTTCAACACACTTGGAGGAGAATACTTACTCCTAATTTATTAGGTGAACTAACAGACACCCATGTGGCTAGCATTGCACTGAGTGTTGGGGGTAGAGGGAGGGCCATCCAGCTCACCCTGAGAGAGCGAGGCTAATTGTGCTCTTGGAACCAACCACGGATGGCTGTGGCATCACCGGAGGTCAAACCTGTGATCTTCTAATGGTAGCACCAACACTTAGATGGTTGCAGTCATTGTATTCTGCAAGACAGGGGTGGGACCAGTACAAGCCCCACAGTGAGACTCTGTGATGTTTAAAGTATTGCAATATGACTGAGATTTATGCAAAACTTTCTGTTTAGTCTATTAAATTGGACACTTTGTTCATCTCAGTAGCAAAACAGACGTATGGAGCAGATAAAGCAACATTCATATTTAGCACATGCTCACACATTCAGCACAAGTAGATAAAGCAACATTCAAAATAGGCTTTATCCTTAACTATACATACTGAATTGCGTCTGAGTGGTGGGCTGACCCCTGTTCTCATACAATCAGGGCAAGTGCGCAATTCATTAGTATCTATTAGTAACAACTGGGATTATGAAACACTGGTCTCACCAGCGCCATCTTGTGGATTGAGACAGAAGGGCATTTGGTGTTCTGTTAGTCTAACACGGGGCTTAATACATGTTACAATATTATTAATCAAATGATAAAATATTGATACTTGGGCCTCCGTTTATCAGTTCTATTTTTAAGCCCCTGCATTTGTGAAGTGTTGCATATTGCATAATGCTAATCTAAATGGATTTAATTTGATTTAATTCCAATTTATGCATTTTATAAATGCGTATACACTCCTGGGCAAAAAAAATGGGCCAAGCCCAAAATATAATGGTTTTCACTGATGGTTTTGGTCCAGATTTAAATCTAATGCTGTGTGGGAAAAATACTGACTCTTCGTTCTGTAGGAGGTTGTCTGCAAATTTACATACAGAACTTCAACATTTAAAGAAATCAAAAGGAAAAATAACCCATATGAAGTTACTTTAACTATTTGTTTAATGATTTGTTGTTAAGACTATAAAAAGCTTAATGTTTTGACATTTTGGGCTTAGTCCATTTTTATTTGAGGAGAACATTAATTCTCTCACAAAGGGAAAGCCTTAGTCTGTCTGCATAGGAGATTCTAGACACTGGAAATCTCCTTAGGTACAAAGAGATGTACCTGTTAGAGAATGAGCTAATATCAATATTTGAGAAGTAAGGTGGAGGGATATCAAATTATCCCAGATAAATGGTATTTGGAACACTGTATTTCCGCAGTTGGGTCTCTCGAGACCCTTTGCCACTTGATGCTGAAATAAAGAAGAAGCCTTTTTCCCTCTTCCACAAACTCAGCGTCTGAGGACTCTTTACTTTTTGACGTTTTGAGAACTTGGACTTAAAACAGTTATTAGTGAAAGTGTTTAGCCAGTATTTAATGATTTCTTTTTCATTCATAATATTATGTTGGAGGCCTGGGGTTGAAGGCGCCCTTGGTCCCGACAACATCCACATCAGCATCCACAGAAAGGTACCGTTAGGAATTGCATTAGGAAGTGGAAAACTCTAGGTGACATAACTTCTGAAGTAATTCAGTGTAACTTGTCGTTTGTTTTTAGGTGATCATGAAGATAATGTCAATGACGCCGACCAAGCAGACCAAGAACAGGTTAAGCCAGAAGAATGATGCAAGAACTTAATGGACTTCTCCGATTGTACAGGACTGTGCTTTAGACGGCCTCTGCAGTGGCCTGTTCATAAGTGCAAGGAATGAAGTTTTAAATGTGTTTTGATTTGTATGTTGTACTCTGTGACTGTAATATTATGTGTATTAAAATAATGTGAGTTGTATAAAATATGCAAACGGCTTTGTTGCTGTTAGTGCTTCTGGCCACAAATGAGTTAGCGATAACAGTGTCCGCTGGAGGCCAGATGGTGTCTGTTCATGCACATGAGGTTCTTATAACACCATAAACCGAATTCATATTTTTTTGTGGTGGACTCCTCAGTTTGCTCATCATCCAGCTGAATATTTCAATAATGAAGCTTGTAGGACCCTGTAAATGACCAACTTTCAGCTCCAGATCTAAAGTACTCCTGTTTTTGTGTTTTCTTTACATGTCATTTCAAAGGCCCATATCATAGAAAGCTGATGTTTAAGGATTTGATGGTGAAGGTAAACATCATTAAAGGTTCTACATGTCATTCACTTCCTAGTCCACACAGTCCATATATGTAAGTTGAGGCACTGAAATATTCCATTTTTAATTAGTTGGTTTTGTACACAAAAACCAACACCACACTGCTTTCAGAATGAGGCGCAAAACAAAGCAGCCAATCAGAACAGATATTATTTACATACAGTGCCGTTCAAAAGTTTGGAATCACTTGCCATAATAATCATTATTATTCAATAATAACTTTTAGCTTATAACTTGTATGTAAATGTGAATGTTGGAAAATAGAGACCAGAACATAAAAAAATAAACTAATGGTTCACAATTTAAACTATTTTGGTAACTTTATGTTTTACCATATTTAAAGTATTTTGGTAACAAGAAGTTATAATTTGATTTAAAAAAACAGAAACAACAGCAAATGATATTGAATAATAAACTGTATTTGTCTATTCAAAGTATTTTCTCGTCATGAAAGTGTTACAAATAGCAGTTCATCAGCTATAGATTTAGCTGCTTCTTAAATATGCGGCATTTTGAATAGGAGGCATTCTCCATTCATCATCACATCAACAGAGAGTTTTAGCATCACATTAGAATCATACATATATCTGCAACAGCACTGCTTTTACGTCCTAAAGGCACAGAAACAGGCTGTGTAATTCCAAGTTATGGGGGGTGGGGGGTGGAAAATGGTCATGTAAAATGAGCATAATATGGGCTATATGTTTTTTTGGGATATAAAAGTGAACTTCACAATTGGATAAAACAGCAGAAAATGGGCATATTGACTCTGTGTGAGCCAGAGGTCAGCAAAGGTGCCTTAAACTTAAACTGAAGTGCAATTTTGATGAAATAATGATGTGAAGTAACTTATAGAACTGCAGCTATTTTAGCACATTCAGCATTTATACCTGTCAGAATGGAAACTGAAGGGTCTTTTATAGGGTCTTTTTCGATGCACTCTTTATCCAGAATACATACAATGATAAAGATCAAAAATCAGAGACATGAGCAACAGTAAAGCAGAACAAGTGCTCTCTCTCTCTCTCTCTCTCTCTCTCTCTCTCTCTCACACACACACACACACACACACAAATTAGTAACTAAATAACTAAAAAAGTAAAAAGTACACATCCATCAAATATGTACTTGAGGAAATTTTAACATATCCATTAAAATTGTACTTGAGAAAAAGGTTCGTCCATCCAAAAAGTACAGATCCATCAAAATTTTACTTAAAAATTCACTGTATCCATCCACACAGTTCTACTTGAGAAACTTAACAAATCCCTCAAATTTTTACTTAAAAAATAAATCCATTAGAATTTAACTTGAAAATCTTACCAAATCATACATTTTTACCTGAAGACTTTTAATATATAAAAGAATAACTGGACCCGCTCTGTGATGTTGTATATTAACCCCACCGCGCGCTGAGACCTTTACTGACACCCCCAGCGCGGCGGACTCACCGACTTTCTTTTATTGGAAATAAATAATTGACCTTGGCTTCAAAGGGAGGAGCAGGCTGTGACGTGGTGTGCTAAGTGCGCATGCGCAAACACGGTACCTCAGGGCGTACTAAGGTGCTGTGGGCTGCGGTGAGACTGGAACGCACACAGACACGCGCGCGCACACCCCACCACACCTTTCTGATGAGCAGAGCAGCGCGATGTGTACATCTGAACACACACCGTCTGAAGGTAAGCCGCGACCCCCCGAGCTCAGAGCTGCGGGTGAATGTGGTTTTAATGAAATAGCGCTGTGATGAGCTGATGGTGGTCTCTGTGTGTGTGTTAGCCTGTGTGCGCGGATGAGCTGATGGTGGTCTCTGTGTGTGTGTTAGCCTGTGTGCGCCGATGAGCTGATTGTGGTCTCTGTGTGTTTTAGCCTGTCCGCGCGGATGTGCTGATGGTGGTCTGTGTGTGTGTGGTAGCCTGTGCACGCGGATGAGCTGATGGTGGTCTTTGTGTATCTGTCTGATTTCTCTTTCCTCCTCAGAACAGGAAGAGCTGATCGGAGAGTTGAAGCCCTCTCGGCCCGCGCGCCTCTACGGCTCTGCGGGCTGCGAAACGTGGAGCGCGTGCTTCTCCCCGGATGGCTCGCGCTTCGCCTGGTCCCTGGGCCACGGCACCGTCAGAGTGCTGCCCTGGCCACTGCCCTGCGACCAGTAAGCCCCTTTCAGCTCTCCTCTGTAATACACACACAGGAGATGGTTCCTCAGGGGTTCTAGCAGTATTTCTGTTCAGAACCATGAGCTCTGTATAGAACCATTTCATGCTTGAATGGTCCCTGCATGGTGAAATGGATCCTCAGATTGGATATGGTTCTATATGACACCAAAAAGGGTTCTTCTACTGTTACAAGCTTACAAGTCATCCTAATAGCAGAACCCATTTTGGTGCCTTATAGAACCATTTTCAAAAATGTTCTATATAGAACCACACATTCTCTATCAATCTAAAGAACCATTTCATCAGGCAAAGAACCACTTAAGCATGAGCATTTTTATAAGTGTACCTCCTCATAATATATTTGGATTAGCTTTGTTTGTAAGAATATTACATCACTGTCAGAACAAAACCTTGTATCTGCGTTTTTGTTGATGCTATGATGCTTTGAACCATTGTTGGTCAACTGTTGGTCAGTTCAACATGAAAATGATGACACAATGTAAAGAGCACCTGGCGTGACCAAACCAGGTGCTCTTTACATTGTGTGATCATTTTCATGTTGAATTGACCAGCAGTTGACCAACAGTGGTTCAAAACAGCTTGCACTGTTAGTAATAAAGGTTCTGTGCAGGTACATTTTTCATTCATCAAGGTACAAACAATGTAAATGTTCCCTCAAAGGTAAAATAGTGGTTTTAAGGTCCAATTGTGTACCTTAAATATGTATTTTTCCAGGTGAAAAGTACATATTTGTACCTTTTTATAACCTAATGTTTTAAAACGGAGCAATAAAATAAAAGCCTGGAGATGAGACGGGGTGTGTGGAGTCAATACAGCTTAGAAAATATAATTTCAATGGATTATGGTACAGTTATGTTCCCTGACTAAAGGCACTGAGATGTACCCTTGAGGGTCCCACCCCAGTGACAGGAGAGGAACTGCCCCAGTGACAGTTCTGTACCCTTTTTTCTGAGAGTGTGGAACAAAACCTCCTTCATTCATGTAAAAAAAATCTTTACATTAACTTACACTGAATGTTAAGAACGTCTCTCTTGTCCTGTGAATCATTTTTTATCATTCAAAACATTTTGCAGAAATAAGGTTTTGTTCTGACTGCAAATGTAAATCAGTTCATAATGCTAAAAAACTGTTGTTGACCAGAACCAAACATATTGATTGTGATAATCTGACATTCTTCATCTACTCTGAATGGTTCAAAGATCATACGTACCCTGGAATTTGACTTGATGACATAACATTTAGGAATTACATGATTGAGCCTGTAAGGAAACCGAGGCAAAACCAGAATGAACAGGATATACAAATTGTGTTTCTATGGAAACCTCTCCCTCCAGGCGGAGGAGAAAAACATAGACGTCTTACAAAAATCTTCTGTCTCTGGCAGCAGTATGTCCAAATATTGACTTACTATGTCAAAGTAATGACTTAGTATCTCGTAATATTGACTTATTATTTTAATAACAGTCTTGCTAATTTGATAACTCATTACTTCACACAGTATTGCAAAATCTCAAGAAAATAACTTTACTCATTATTTTAAGATCCTAAGTCAATAATAAGAAAGTCATTATTTTGAGATACTAAGTCAATATTTTGAGAAGTGATTATTTCAAAGTTGATAGTTTGACCTACAGCTGCCAGGGAAGGACAGACGAATGGACTCCCCTATGTTTCCCCATTGTATAGTAGAAAGACATCAAAATCATGGTGATGTTTATATATTCATGCTGAAGGTCTGCACTCAAGTTTATTGTTTTGCATCCAGGTTCATTACTGGTGACAGTTATAATACTAAGCGTTATGAGCTTTATGCTGAAGTTGTATGGCCCTCTCTAACTGTGAGGCATGATAGGCACTGGATTTTATTTATTTATAAAGCCCTTATCACAGCCACCGTGCTTCACACCAATGTTGACTTTTCATAATGACCTTATCAGACTACTGTGGTTGGATTGTATTGCAGGTCCCACTTGTTCAGGTTCAGGTCTCTAATGAACAAGCTGAGAGTGAGAGTGGCTCCCAAATCTTCTTATGGAATTTCCCTGTTCAGCATACTGTGGGTTTTTTTGCGCCCAACACACCTGAACTAGCTAATGAGCTCATTATCACACCCTCCCTGCATTATAGTGGATGAATAAGAGCAGAACAGGACAGCTCCAGGGCTGGGATTCAGATCCACTGTGAAAAAAACACTGAGAGGCATTAAGAATCGACAGGGGAACCTACTCCTACTTGAGGTGTTCATATGAATCAACAGTAAATAATTGTAATGAGAGTAATGTTAACCAGTCTTTTAAAAGGCCCATATCTTTGATGTTTTTTTTTCCATGAGGTTCACTTCGAAAGTTTGTTTTTGGGTTTATGTACCAAAAATAATCCATTTTAACATGACCATGCAGAGTAAACTGCTGTAGACTGAATAGGTGGCTGTACAGTATGTGAATTCATTCATTCATTCATTCATATTTCCATGTATGGAGCATATGGACTAGAGGGTGAACAATACGTTTTTGAAACGTGTATATATATATATATATATATAAACCTTATGTAAACATATGCAGTTGGATGCTTCTCCTGGTCAAATTACGTTTTGTTGATTTTCTAAATGAAAAGTTTAATGCGCAATTAAAGGCTGGAGCCTATCCCAGCTGTCATTGGGCGGAAGGCAGGATACACCCTGGACAGGTCGCCAGCCCATCGCAAGGGAGACAAACAGACATGTACATTCACACACACACTCACACCTAGGGGCAATTTTAGCATGTCCAATTGGCCTGACTGCATGTTTTTTGGACTGTGGGAGGAAACGGGAGGAAACCTACTCAGACACGGGGAGAACATGCAAACTCCACACAGAAACGACCCTGGCCGCCCGGCCGGGAATTGAACCCAGGCCATTCTAGCTGTGAGGCAACAGCGCTACCCACTGTGCCACCGCGCTGCCCTGAATTGAACATATTAAATATTTTATGTTTAATGTTTGTTCCAGTATGCTAAATACATAGAACTTGAGGGTTAAGAGAGTGTGTTAACAAAATTCAAACACCCCTGATCATTTTTCACTCACAAAAGTGTAATTTGACCAGGGGTGTCAAATTTTGACGAAACACTGAAGTCACAGTCTGTTATTTGGTCCATGTCTTGCAGCCCTTTGCTGAATAATGTTGCTGTACATACCATGTTCTGCTCTCCTTACAGTCATGCAGAGGATTCTGCTAACAGTGAAGAAAGAGTGCTACAGTGTGACCACACCGTATGGGGGATGGCATTTGGACCTCAAATGGCCAATCGGGCGAGAGCTGCAGAGCGCTGTGGGGCTGCAGAAGGACTGCTCTTAGCAACAGGCCTCAATAATGGAGTGATCAAGGTGTGGCTCATCTCCACTGGTAAGACTGAGAGTGGTCACAGTAGTGTTAAAGGACTTTGAACTCGTTTGCACTTCAGACAGTTTGGAGTGGTTATGTAATTGTGATTTTGAACTGCTCAGCAAGCACAAACATTGCACATACACAACATCTTCCTCAGTCCACTTAACCAATAGTTTTCTGTTTTTACTTTCAGGACAGATACTGCTAAATCTAACTGGACACCAGTCTGTGGTGAGAGATTTGGCATTCGCTCCAAACGGAAGTCTCACTCTTGTGTCAGCCTCCAGGGACAAAACTCTGCGAGTCTGGGATCTGGCCAAGAAAGGTTACAGCGTATATCTTTATTGTGAAATGCTTTGAAGTGGCCGCAATCTTGTAAGGAGCCAATGTGGCTGTCAATGAGGCCTGTAATTGATCTGTCCATGCTCCATGCTGTATCAATCAGATGTTTATCCTTAAAAACCTCAGTTTCACGGTAAAAGAACTACACTAATCATGTGACTGTTCACATGCATGTACCGGTCTGTGCAGACGTCAGAAATCACCCTTCCTTCAGCATTTTGTGTGTATATATGTGTATATACATATACATACATACACACATATTTTACTTACTATGTACATTCTGCCTTTATTATGGCTTCTTCAAAGAAACCTCCAAAGTTCAGTCTTAGAAGCTGGTTGCATTTTCTGCTTCTGACAGTCTAAGTAATCCCATTCAGTGATGTTGAGGTCTGGACTCTGGGGTGGTCAGTCCAATGCTCTGAGAACACCAGCAGCTTCTTTGTTTGGTTTGCAAATTTTCTTGAGTTTATTTCCTTTTCTCAGTGAGGCTCTTGACAGCTATATATCCTTTCAGTCGTCTTCTCACAATGGAAGGATGGACAGAAACACCTGTGTTTTTTTTTTTAGATCTGAAGCATATCTTATAGGGACAGTTTTATGGTCTTGCATGGATGTTAGGCGTCTCCTTTTCTCTGTCTTTTAATCATATTTTGAACCTTCCTTATGTGAGTGGATTTATCTTGTATCAAATCCCCTCAAAAATCTCTTGAAACATTTAATGTCTTGTGATCTTGAAATTAAATACATGAAAGGTGGTCTTTGTCATTGACACAGTACTGTAACACAAATATTTGAAATGAAGAACACACTTTAAATTTGGGTACAATTTTGACTGAGCTGTGCATTACAGTTTCACATTTGGTTGAATGGGCTCTTTGTCAATGTTCTGTATGGTTGCGATGTGAGAGCACATTTCGCGGTGGAGCATGGATAGGCCAGCTATTGCTTATGGTTTGTGTCTCTACAGTTGCACAATTGTATGTTGTTTCTAGGACATCAGCAGACTTCTGAGATGATGACCTCTGAGCATGTAGTCATCCAAGTTTAGTTTCCTTTCTCAACTGAATGCTTTCGTCTTACAGGAACACCATCCCATGTGCTGACTGGGCCAAACAACTGGGTGTTCAAATGTTCCATTTCTCCTGATAGCAGCATGATTGCTTCAGTCTGTAACCTCGATTCAGTGAGTATCTTTACTGATCATTGACTGGTCATTATGTTCAATAGTCATACAGGGCTGTGTTCCTGTAATAGAGCTGAGGCTGCTGTAAAGTTGAAGTCTGTTATGTCAGTTTGCCAGCTATGAGCAGAAGGTTCTTTTTTGCAGTTTTAGGCTTCTTGAGCACAATTCGAACTGGATTCCCAGAGGATGTACTACAATGTAATTTGTGCATGATTTGACTGGAATTGGTCCTGAACATTTGTGTAATTTCCCCAAATTCCCAGAGATAGCCCAGATTGACAGATTATAGCCCAGATGTCACATCACATTAGCATTACATCACAGGATTTTTGGAGCAGGTTCTGTTCTTCACTCCACAGTTACTACTGTCAGGCTATAAGGACTACACACACTGCAGATTCATACTGGATTAAAAGCACTCCACAATTATTACTGTCAGACTGTAAAACTACACACACTGCAGATCCATACTGGATTAAAACCACTCCCCAATTATTACTACCAGACTGTAAAAACTACACACACTGCAGATCCATACTGGCTTAAAATCACTCTACAATTATTACTACCAGACTGTAAACAGACATATTAAAGATCCATACTAAATTAAAATGAAAACTCCACATTTATTACTGTCACTTTAATTCCAGAACATTACCAGGAAAACTAATCTAGCTCCATCAGGGCTTTAAACAGAAATCCTGGGCACGTGAGATAAACTTAGAACATCCTGTAATGTTGTGTGTCTGGAAAAACATGACTGTGTTTCTTTATCTACTGTTGCATTTGTGAAAGATCTAGAAGAATCCAGTAGTGTTGCAACATGCCCAAACAATCTTTTAGCTGATGACTAACAACTTGTATTGTACTGTGTGTCTTTGTGTGAACTTCAAGCAGCATGCTCCTTAACTTTCACTGCAATTTAACAGCAAATACATCCCAGAGACACAATGTAACAGCCCAAGCAGACCAGTCTTTAAAAAAAAAACACAGTACAGTTCTATTTAATAAAAGAAATATACCTTAGTTTAATTTTATTTATCGTGCTTTAAGCAAAGTATTTAAATCAAATTTAAATAATTATCTGATCATTTCTGACTGAATTCTGTGCTCTGTTCCTACAGAAAGCTTATCTATGGAGCATACGATCCTACACCTTCATCCGAAACCTGAAATATGATCACGAGCGGACCATGATAACATGCGATTTCTCTATGGATGGAGCGCTGCTCGCGATTGGTTCTTTTCATGCTGCGACAGGCTGGTGGCTGGACTTATGGGACCCCTACACTGCTGAACAGCTGACTAGAGTGGAGTAAGTGGACCAGTCAGCATACTTCATTTACTCAAGAGTATGATCCAAGTGCCTGACAATTGGTCCCGTCACATTGTGACGTCTACATTAGAAGGGGCAATATGACCCTCAGCCATGGAAACCCATTTCATGAAGCTCTCAACGCACGCTTCTTGCGCTGATGTCTCTTTTAGAGGTAGTATGGAATTCGGTATTGAGTGATGCAACAGAGGATAGCCAATTTTTGTACTTCAACACTGGGCGGCCCGCTGTGCGAGTTTGCATGGTCTACTGCTTCTTGGCTAAGCTGTTGTTGCTCCTTCCATTTCACAATAATGGCACTTGCAGTTGACTGGTGTAGAAACTTCCTATGACAGTACAATGTTTAGTCACTGAGCTCTTCAGCATGTGCCATTCTACTGCCAGTGTTTGTCTATGGTGATCGCTGTGTTTGAGTTCATACACTTGTTAGTACAGGGTGTGGCTGAAACACTTGAACTCAGTAATTGGAAGGAGTGTCTACATACTTTTGGCCATATACCGAACATGCCAGCCAGTTTTAGATGGGCCTAGCAATCAAACTGGTGGGAAGCCCTTCTCTTAGAACCAGAATGTTTGTAGAATATATAGTGTGGTTTATGAAATACTGTATATGTAATGTATTTGCCCATTTTACTGTTTATTCCAGGGACTGTGATATATGTGTATACAGAACTGACAATCTACTGGCAGCATTGAGTTTCTCTCCTGTAACCCTTCAGCTGGCTTTCAAAGACTACAGGTGAGACAGTAATGTGGCATCGCTGTTATGAGAAAAAGAAAAACATTGTGTGGAGATTTTTTTAGACCATTTTAACCACCGTCAGATGGCCATTATCTTACATTAAAAGTCAGTTTAGGATATTTGTGTAGGTTTACATACTATAAAGTGGTTAAGTCATATCTTTCTCACCTGACCATTTTCTAACCTCTCTTCACGCCATAGAATTAAACCGGCTGTTTTTCGTTACTGTATCTGACAGATTTATGAAAATTAAATCAACTGGCTGCCCTGCATTGTGCCTCAGCCTTAAACACTTCAACATGAATGTGTGGATTTATGTAAATGCATTGTTTTTTGGGACACCACTAAAACACTTCTTTCAAAATGGTACATTAAAAAACAAAAAAATTAACATATCAGATTCTTTTATTTCAAAAAAGTGAGGACAATAATATTTTTCATAGTACAGGCTTTTTAAAACAATTTTCTCCTTATTCTATAAAGTTACTGTTTCTAAGATTCAAGGTTTTCTTAAGATCAACGATCAGCCATATTGTTTGAATTCAAAATGAGTCGAATGACTAGTTTCAACACGTTGACATGCTCGAACATGCCTTTAGAATTACATAATCAACAGGTCAACGTTGGCCAGGCACTGTCCCTTTCCTTTTCACCAAAGATTTCCTGCCTTTGTGTAACAGGGCGTTACAGATTTGGGACGTGGAACAAGATAAACTGGTCTTGGAGGTGGATCACAACCGAGTCAGCGGGCTGTGCTGTGCCTTCCACCCACAAGGCAGCGCCATTGCTACTGGGTAATCAGTGAACTTTCAACTGGCACCATAACTTACGCCACCACACATTCCTAAGCCTTTTACAATTTGTATTATAAATAGAGGACAGTTGTGAGTAACGCTGTGAGAATTTAGCCTTTACCATATGATTCTTTTCATGGGCAGCTGTAAGAAATGTCTGACCAATCATGATGTGAAGAGAAACAGCAGTCATATCAAATAAAATCTCTTCCCAACTGATTTATTTTTAGTCTTTACATATTCTGGTTTTAAAGTATTAGCAATGAACAGATGGACAGATATTTTTACTACCATGCCATGACAGTGAAAATGGTTTTCGGTGCAACAGACCTCACAACTGTACAGTACATAACACAAGTGGCAATAGAAGTATGTCAATCCATCCATCACCAATACTTTTAAAAGCAGAATTTAGTTTGAATTTCATTCTAGGGACTTAATCAGGCCTGAAATCTTGGTCCAAACCCAAATAACCCAATTTTTTAAAATAAATCTATAGCTCACGCTAAATGAGTAGGGTAAATGTACTTAAACCACAGAATTGTTCCCACCTGGGTGCTCTTAGGTGTGTGTAGATTCTGTTCTTACCTAATAACAAATCTCAAATAAGAAAACATTGCTGAATGTCAGAAACTTTGTGAAAACTGGATAATTGAGTTAAGCCCTTAAAATCCCAGGCTTATTACATACTATTGGCTTATTATTCAGTAGCTACACAGACTGCAATGCAAACTTGCTGGGTTATTCTTAGGTTAAAGAAGTGTGTAGTAAAACTTTGGGTCCTGGCCATTTAAGTGGATATAATTGAATTAAGAACAACTGGTGAATGAGGACCAATATTACTTGCTCTTTAACTGGCCGAACTGGCATTTTCAAATTTTAAATCTGTTCCCTGCCAATCCCAATCTTGCCCGATTCCGAGTGCATCCCTATTAAAAACGGTTTTAAGGTAATGAAAGTAGAGAAGTAGTTTGTAAGGGTAGGTTGTGAGAACCTGTTTTGAAATGTCAGGCTCAAACATTTCATGCCATGTTTCATTCCAGGTGTCGAGATGGGCACGTGAAGTTTTGGAGGGTCCCTCGTCTAGTTCCGAGTCTGCAGCACCTGTGTCGGACTGTCCTAAGGTACTCCGTGTCTACTTTCCAAGTGAGGGCCTTGCCTCTCCCCAAGAAAACTCTGGAATTCCTCACCTACAGGAACATTTCTAAGAAAAAGATCCTGCGCTGCAGTGAACACTACAGCTTATGAACACTGGCACCCGTCCACTGCCACCACACGGATACTTTACCAGCTAGAACAGATTTGCTTTCATTTTAAAGCTTGAACAAGACAGAAAAGGGAAGAAAAAACAAAGAACCAACTTCTAGGACTCTGTAGATATGGAAAAGACATAAGTTATGAAGCACAAGAAATATTTATTTATGGACAAATTTTACATATTATCCTGCTGCTATAAAACTGCAAGATGTTGAATACTTTTCTTTAATCCAAACTTGATCACTTGAAAATGGGATTCTTTTTTGGAATTCCAAACTGCTGTAATCTGTCCTGAACCCATCAGAAGAGCAACTCACTAATGACCTCTAGTGTCATTAGCAAAAATAAGGCATGGGAGGTTTGGTGTGCTGTCAACTGGACTAGCCATCACTGACCACTATATCTCTAACTGCTTGGAAAGCCGCCACCATTGAGCTCAACTGAATCTTCTCGTTGGTCCCAGACGCAAGCCGATACCTGAGAGAGAGAGAGAGAAAAAGAAGGCTTTCAATTATTGCACATTACTGCACTACACTTTTGTTTCATGTACAGGCACAGTTTTTTTTCTTAGTACTGATTTATGGTTTTGTTATTTAAACACATATTTGAAAGGAAGGCAGGGGACTGTTAATCTGATATTCATTCACATCTTTGGCCTTAACCCACTACTCCACTAAGACACTAACAGAACAACACAAATAAATCTACTCACTCAATGTCAGCAAGCTTGGTAAGCAAGCCCATTCGAATGGAAGGAGGAAAGTCCACTGGAATAAAGAAGAAGAAGAAAGTTAACATAGCACTAATTACATGCATGTCAAAAATGGTCTTAAAGGGGAATTCCACCGCTTTTACAAAATGTATGCATAGTTCAGTCGTTGTAAACAAAGTTATTCCAGGTATTTTGATGTGAAACTTGTTCACAGTGGTGGTGACAGGAACAAGACGCTGAAGAATTAAATGCCTCAAAAAGCTCCCTCATGCAAGCTTATAAGGAATGGTTATGAACACACCCTAAATACCCTGATGTTTTCTGATTTGAGAAAGTTTAGGTCTAAAATGTATTCATTTTAAATACAGATAAGCTAGATAGGTACACGCAAGGCATTATAAGACCAAACAGTCCCCAAACAAAATTTTTCAGATTTACCACTATTTTCCTCCTCATCAACACTATATATAAAAATTCACATGTAGGTTCACAGGTAGTTTTGGATAGTAAATGAAATGGCTATATTTGCATTGTATACATTGTGACCCCTAGTTCCTATCACCACTACTGTAAAGAAATGAGCCAGTAAGTTTCTCTACAATGAACTCTCACATCAAAACACTCTGAATCACTTAGTTTACATCTCAACCACTGAATTATGCAGAAGCTTTAAAAACCTGTAGGAATTCCTCTTTAAGGTGACAGATCTCGAGTTAACATCAATATTCAATCAGGAAAAACTGGAAGGGTTTGAATTAGTCTCAGGGATTTTTCGTTTGTCCACCACCCCTCTCAATGTGTCTGTAATGCAAACTGACTTAAATCTGAAATCTGTATATTTTACACATTTCTGCATGTCGCACTTTTATTTAAATTATAAAATAAAACAGCCTGATGGATCAACAACACATGGATCATTTTCAATATTTCAGTTTCTTCTTAAAAGGGGCATTCTGGCCTATAGCTATCAATGTTATGTCATGCTATGTAATATTCTATAGTGCATCACTGCATCCTTTAGCCTTGAAAGAATTCAGGATTTTTGTATTCTTTGAGTGCTGGTCAATCAATTGCTTGTTCTCTCACTAAAAAACCCAACATGTATTATGCAAATACATTTAATGTCATACAACCATTAGGAATTCCCCTGACGGTGATAAAGAAATCCACAGATGTTCCGCTGCTGTAGAGGCTAATAAATACAGATGTGATATTCCTAACAGTAACATAAGCCGTCTGGCTTCCTACTGTATTTGCCAGCTAGTAAAAAAAAATAAACAGCTTCCAAAAAAATCCACCCTAAAGCACCTGGAGTTTTTCAAAAACTGTAGCTGCCCCCTCACCCTTAAGATACACCAGAAGGGGGTTTTCCAAAACCAGAAAATCTCACTCTGGAGATCACTGTGGCGCTGCTTTAGGAAGCAATTGTTACATTTTAAAAATAGGGTGGAGTGCCCCTTTAAAGCTTTAGCACAGCAGTAGTGAAGCATGCTACACTAGGCCACTGGGAACTTGTTTCTGTGGCAACCGCAGGGGAATCTCCAGGGAAACCAGGCTGAGAAAACAGGCTACTGAGCTGCTATACGAATGGTTTGTGATGTGTGTGTGAGTGAGCAACTGAGAGTACTGGGCCCAGGCCTGTACTGAATTATGTACTGTATTGGCACAGACAAGCAATTTACTGTATTTAAAATTATTTACATAAACTGTCAAAAACAAAAGAAACTGCATAGGTAGATTTTTTTTGTCCCCAAAATACAATGTAAATGTGCCCTCAAAAGGTCCTTAAAGGTGCTTTAAAAATAAACTACACTCTCGGAAATAAAAGCTATGTCACTGGGGTGGCACCCTCAAGGGTACATCTCAGTACCTTTAGTCAGGGAACATAATTGTACCATAATCCATTGGGATTATATTTTCTTAAGTTGCACTGACTCCACACACCCCGTCTCGTCTCCAGGCTTTTTATTTTATTGCTCCGTTTTAAAACATTTGGTTAAGAAGAGGTACAAATATGTACTTTTCACCTGGAAAAACATATTTAAGGAGCACAATTAGACCTTAAAACCGCTGTTGTACCTTTGAGGGAACATTTACATTGTTTATACCTTGATGAATGAAAAATGTACTTGCACAGAACCTTTATTTCTAACAGTGTACATTCACTTCCTCAAGGGAGAGGTGCATTTTTGTACCCTTTATTATCTTGATGTTTAATTAATATAAAATGAACAAACATAAAAATGATGAAAAATACTCAAAAAAATTAACAAAAATGTCTGAGGGCCAAGACAGGGTGTATGGAATCAATCCAGCTTAAAAAAACAACTCCAACAGAATTTGGTACAACCATTTCCCCTAACTAAACATAATGAAGACATACCCTTGAGGGTATCACCCCAAGGACAGCATGACTGTGTACAAACCATTATATTGCTGCTCCTGGGACAAAACCTTATATCTCCATTTTTGTTTTCATTTTTTTGGCATAATTTGGAAAAGGCAACTGCCCCTTATGTTGTGTCAAAATTTCATGATGAACGGTCCAACAGAAATGGTGCAGAAATACTTGGGAAAAAAAATTCCTCCATTTACTTCCATTAAACATTGAGAAAGTTTTTTCCTCGTTGTGTAAAGTCACTTTTTTGGAGATACGAGGTTTCGTTCCGACAGCAGCGATATACAACCTAATACGAGCGTCGATTGACTTCATATGAACTGTAAGGTGATTATTTGCATAGTGCATAACAGATTTCTTTACAACCTCTAATGCCCCCAAAAAAAGGAATTACCTTGATGGCACCTTACCTCTGTGTATGAGTAGATGCACCTCTGTCAAAATGTCATGCAGTGCTAGACCTTTCAGAGTTTTCAGCTGCAGGATTTCTGATTAAATTTATTTAAGGAAGAACCTTTTTTTTCCCCCAGGCATTATTTTATTTTTGTATGTCTGTTTTTTATTAACAAAACACTCAGTGAAAAGTTAAAAGGCAATAAGGATACGGTTGTATGCCGTTGTGAAGTCTTTGTTCAAAGCCCAGTCCAGTATGTTGGCGATATCTGACCGTAAGGGATGTCCTGTGCACGTGTAAACAGTGTCCTCAGTCACTTTCCCATAGGCCATATGAGTACTCTACACAGACAACAGTGAAAATATTTATCATTCGGTAATTTGCTTTGAATACTTCTCTTTGTAATGGCATATATGCATTAGTAAAACATCAAACAATATTTTCAACTGATTACCACATGAATGCTTTTCAAAGTTCCCCCAGACACACACCTGTAAAATGTTTAATGATCGCCTCATGTCTCCTGATGACAGGGTCACAATAGCTTTCATGCCATCTGGAGTGATGTCGATGCTAAATGAAACAAACGGAAAGACAGGCAGACAAAATTCGCTTATATTTTCATGAGTCCATGTTGACTGTTCATTGTTTCCTCCATTCTTTAGTTTGGCTTGGTTACTGGCCCGTCCAGCCTTGAAGTAGAGCAGGGAACATATGGTACAGCGAAACCAGTGTGTCTGAGAATTTTATCCTCAGACAGGAGCAGTCTGCACTGATCACAGGAAAACTTGTGCTTCAGACCGCTTCCCTCAGCAGATCAGTGTGATGACTGCGAGTGCGTTGAAAGAGTATTTCAAAGAGGATGTCTCTCCTGAGGATGTGAGTGAATGATCTACTACTGTCATCATTTCTTCATCAGTATAATACGGATTTGCATTTGAGACCCAAACATCAAGCCGAACCTTCTTTTCGATTGTCTGCGTGACATTAATACGTAAAGATGTATGACGTGATCAGAAAAACTCCTGTGGGATCAGACTTGTTCCCTCTGTCTTACAATACTTTAGCAGTAATGATACTTCTTTCAATTTTAATACAACTTTACATAATATAGCTTTAAATAATCACAAATATGTAGTTATGGTTTCACAAACTTTAATATATTTTTGTTTTTTGATTGATAATTTTTGATTATTGCTTCCCAGTTTTTCCCAAGGATTTTGGGATATCTGAAAGGATATACATGCATTGTTGTTATTCAGTGCACCCATTTTTATGTTTATGTTTAACTCTGATTACTTGATCTATCATCAAAATAGTCAGTAGATTGCTCAATAACGAATATAATAAATCAACAGCCCTAGTCTAAACCCGGTCAGGCTTAACTTAACTCCAATGCAAAATTCTGCATGAAAGTGCACTGAACATGGTATTGAGAGCCACTCACCTCTCCTGCTGGATAACATGCTCTAGCCTGGGGATCATTTGGTTCTGGGAGAGAGGGCCGAAACGAAACCGCGTG